GACGTATTTCGGCTGCAAGAAGGAACAGAGTAAGACTGTAGTTTGAAACTAGTCCTTCGGATGGACGTGATAGCTTAAACCTGATAGAATGCAAAAGGTACGCTGCTAAAACAGGGAATAGGAAGCATGATGCAAGTGCTGAAAGTTCGTGGATATGCAATTCAGATTTCGCATTTTGACATGCTATTGCAGATGCCTTTCGGGGCGGCAAAGAGTGAGAATTTTCTCCATTAACTGACTTGTCCAAGGGAACGCAATTCTCCGTGTCAGAATCATCTAAATATTCGCCGTCCGAGGCGTCAGGTACTAGCTGAACTCTCTCCTGAGCGGCAAAGTACCATTCCCTATCTGGTGTCAATTTTAAAACACAATATGCTTAGACTTCTAAGAGGGAGGTGCCTCACCATGGTAGCCTAACGGACCAGTTTAGGAAGACTGCTGAAATAGATAGCAAGGCGACATCTGTGAATACGGCAGCTCCATTGTGAAATAGAAGCCCCCCTAGGCCTGGTAGAAGAGCCAGTACGAGGGGGCTCGAATGCCAGTGGGAGTCCGTATCGTCGGGACTGGTGCGTCCCATACTATTGCTGGCACGAGGAAAAAATAAGTCGTCTGTCGATGACTTTATAGACCGACGGGTCTCAGTGACAGTGTCCGAGAACGTTGAGTTGCGCCGGAGCTTGCCGGGAGGGGAAGTTGATGGCGCTGAGCCATCCAGATTTGATCTAGCAGATGTATTCTGTCTGCGTCGAAGTTGTTCTGTGGCCTGTGACTTGACACGCGAGGTCGCAAGGGAGCTGGATGGTTCCTGATCTCGTTCCGTGGATAGAGCAACCATGGTTCATAGTTGGTATAATCTGGATACGTTCTGCAAAATCTGCCTCAGCGCAAACGCTCCCCAGATCAGTGGAATTCGGCTTTCTCGCACTCCCGACTCACATCCTTCATGATAGTTGGTATTGACATATAGTCCATCCCGGTTTTTGCGGAGTCGTTCCTTCTTCAGTAGAAGATAGAGATCTCTTGGCATCTCTTGGCATTCTCAAGCTTATTTTTATGAGTATGACGTAAGAACTTTATACGCTTTGACCAGGGGGAATATTATGTCAGCTGATGAGTCAGCAAGACCACTTCATCAATGGCTAATGCTGAGGAGAGCGACAACAACATCGGGTGAAGAAAAGGAAGACGATGATACCACTACGTCAGCTTCAAGACTTGGATAGGGTCTAAGCCCCTGGGTCTAGAAACATAATTTTGTTTGCTAGATCTTGAGCCTCGTATTCACTTCCCCTCGATAGGGACAAGAAAATAGGCCTGTCGCTCTCAGCTGCCTCTGCTCGAGCGCTGATATTCCACCATGCCAATTGATATCTTCGAACTCCTTTCTATACTTATCTCGGGAGATAGCATAAGGAACAACTTTTAAATGGGACTGGCCTGGGCGAGGAGGTCAACGCAAATAAAATTAGCTTTCCTTATTGATGCAAGGTCAACCAGAATACAACCCCGGCTAAGCCAGCCATCTTCACGGCCCCCGGGTCATCCCTCAAAGAATCAAACGACGGGACACCTTGCATGGGGTCATTTATTATACAGAGGCTCCGGCGGGAGAATTGTCTCTACGATCTGCAATAGTCACATATGCAGTTCGGCTCACATATATGTACCCTCACGCAAACGTCATGGAATATATATGTGATCTCTTTGATAAATGGTACCAACTGACCTTCAATGTGCAGGAACAGTATCAGATACATTCTGATTACGGAGTACTACGTACATTATAGACCAGCGTGTCTAGACCTTTGAAGACGCCTCGAGGCTGAAGGTGCTTAATGATACACCCGGGCCATGATAGCTGCAGATGTCGAGGGCTTGTCGACGGCACCATCCTCGTGTCCGGCTCATCCGCATCCTGAAGAATTCTTGATGTGTTTGTAGCAAATAGCTCCATCCCCGGGGCGAGGAACTGGACTTCCGGAAGCTATCCCCACGCTCAAGGGTTGTCTTCAGACACAACCTTTTCTTCTTCCTTGTCTTTGCACGCCCAATAACTGTAAACGCCCTGTTGCAGCAGCCCGGTTTACAAAGAGTGTACAAACGGACCAGCAGTTTACTCACAGAATATGCTGATCGAAGTGCTTGTCAGGTCAAGTTCCTGAGATTCTATTGATGGAGGAGGACCTATTGATACCCCGATGCGGTTTAGCGCGCATGTCTCCCGCCGGGTCCACACCTAGTCTTCAGTGCGCTTTTCTTTTATTCTGCTTATTCAGCCCCTTGTTTTCTTATTCGGAGGATGGTAAGATGCAGGAGTGAGACTGAAGATGCATTCACGCTGCGTCAAGGCTGTTCAACAACAGTGGTTTATTGACACCCACGGGGACATGACTGATTTATTGACCTTATTCGGGGCAGTTGGGGGCTCAGCGGCGCTGCAAGATGGCCTCCCCAATGGCCATTCAATATGCCCTTCCTTTCTTTTCTTCTCCAGTATCTGGAGCTTCTGCTGGTATATAAATTCTTATATCTGCTCCATTCTTTGACAAATTCCTGGTCGCCGAATTCTTTCTTGATGCTCAAGGCCTCTTGTGCATTTCATTTGCCTGCATCTCTCGACCCCTTGAAACGTGAGATCTACGCACGGGTCTTACTGCAGACGTTCTCGCAGCATCAAAGGTGTCTTCCTTTCTCAGGATTCCGCTCGAGCTTGGTACGATTACCCCTACGATACCAATGTCTATGGAGGTAGTGCTGAGAAATATGGCTAACAACTCTATATGGTGTCCATAGAACTGAATAGGTGCATTGCACTCAGTTCTGGCAGAAAATCTTCATCATGGAGAATAGCAATCTACCTCCGGTTTATGAAATGTCAACGCAGGCAGTAGTGCTCTGCACTGTTGCGTTCATGTCGTTTCTCGTCTGCATCCCACCGTTGATCTGGCATTGCCGAAATGGCAACTTTCCTGCCTCCTGCTTGATAATGTGGATTCTCACCCAGAACTTGTTCAACTTCATTAATCCGTTAATTTGGCCTGATGACGATTTCAGCTCCCGGTGGATGGGTTATGGCTATTGTGATATCCAGTCCAAGCTTATCACCGGCGCCGGTGTTGGTATTGCCGGCCCCTTAGTCTGCATATTTCGCAGCCTTGCAAGGGTCCTGGACACGGAGCGAACTACCCTTGTGCCTACCAAAGGTGATCGAAGATGGAACATTACATTTGATGTCATATATTGTGTTGTTATCCCGGTGGTCATCATGGTACTGCACTTCATTATACAGGATAGCAGATATTACATCTACAGCATCGTGGGCTGCATGCCAGCTTATCATTCTAGCTGGGTCAGCTTTGTCGTCGGTTACATCTGGCCTCCAATCATTTTGATAATCGCTTGTTTTTATTGTGGTAAGGTTTCAACCACTTGGAGTACACCTTTCACAGACGGCATTACTAACTCTTACACCAGCGCTCGTGCTATACCGTTTGTTCAAGTACAAACGTGAATTTTCCCAACTTGTGTCTTCGGACAGCTCAACCAGCAAGTCAAAATTTGTCCGCCTACTCACCATTTCGCTTGTCCTTCTTCTCGGGAGCCTACCGGCTCAGTTTTTCGTTTTTTACACCAACATAACCTCCTATAAACCCTGGGCTCCTTATTCATGGTCCGAAGTTCATGGTCCTCACTGGAGTGAGATTATCAAATTCCCAATGCATGGACAAGTCTACTACGATCGTTGGATACAAGCTGCAGCGGGCTTCCTCCTTTTCTTTTTCTTTGGTATTGGCCATGACGCCACCATGATGTACCGGTCAATTCTTCTGAGACTCGGTTTTGGAGATTGTTTCCCTGCGCTTCGTCATCCACATATCATGATCAACCAGAGACAGGGTTCATCTTCTACCCGTTTTGGTTCTTTCAGTAGCACTGTCAAAATGGCTCTGGGCCGAAAGAAGCCTTTGACATCTACGATTGATTCAGACGTCACACTGAAGTAAGTTACCTACTTTACTCTCTTTCTGCTGATATTTGTCTCGGGCTTGACAATCGACTAACATATAATTTTGCACTGAATAGCGAAAAGACGCGAAATATGTCACTGGATGGATGTTTGTTCAATGAGCTCGAACCAAGCTTCTCCATGGACAACCAAAATAGCGCCCAGAAGCCATATCAGATGCCAACTATGCCAGCACCTATAAATCAGCCCAGCAGGTTCAACATGTCTCGAAAACAGCGTCGGCAATCAGGAGATTCAATTTTTCTCGAGTTTCTTACCGAAACACCAAGTTCCAGTGCCTTTAAAGGGGGGAGGGAGGCTAAAAGCGGGCCCGATATGGTGTAGAAGCCTTCCAACCAACCAGTCTCGATACATTCAATTTCAACAGCAATCCCCTGATACTTGATTGTCCCACCTTTTTTTTTTTTTTACTGGGGTTTACCTTTTAATATGCTAGCTTTGATTTTCGTGATACCTACGTTCAGATGTTTCATGGCGTTTGCTGGGGAACATTAACCCACTACTTCGATTGTGGATTAGGAGCAATAGTTGCCTTTAGTTAGACATACCGAGTAAATATCTATTTCGTGTTATTGAACCGTTTACCATACTTTGTTTTAGCTGGTATTTCTATAGTCCAGATACAGCCATGATGCGGGCAAGCGAAAAAAACATATCAACGTAGGATTTCATTAATATAGATTCACAACTTTCCACTCGTTACTTACCGTACTAGTTGTAGTAAAAGGGAAATAGAATACAATGGTTGGAGGGTGGAGAGGTGGATCAGGAAAAATATAATAATACATAGACATGACCCGCGGAGCGTGAGAAGAGATGCGACCAAAAAGTTCTAATCAAACGGCACGACAAGCTAATATCAGTATAGACGATCGTCGGAGGATTCAAGTGTGGCATCGAGTAAAATGACTATCTGTACAGACAGAAGCTAGATATAAGGCACAGAGCCGCGACATCAGCTGGGAACAGATTACTTCGATTCTTCGTCGCGGTTAGGGTTGAAGGGTCGGCTGAGAACTTCATAATGGCCTAGTTCAGAAAAGAATATTAGATCGTTGATAATGTATATGTTAAATATGCCGTAAATGGGACGGATAGGCTCACGTTGGACAAAGCCCAGCATGCTGGTTTTCCTTCCCTCGTTATCTTCTGATACTCGCATAGTAGCATCTCCTTCAACAAGCATCAATGTTCTATATTGGCCATGGCAATGTTAGCATCTGGAGCTTTGGTATGCAGCGAAAAAATAGTTGTATAGGAATATGAAGAGAGAACATACCCCTTTGGGAGGTTGAGTAGGTGATCTCTGCCAGGGCCTTCAGGGACAAAGCTCGTCACTCGGAACCAGCTGGTTTGCTGGTTGTCACGAGGGCCATAGTTGGTACCAACAGAGTATTTCACATATTCCCGCCCATTTGATGATGTCGCCACCTCTGGTTGCGCACCAAGACGACCAACAACGGTGAGACGGGCGTGATCGCGAATGGCAGTGCTGCTGAAAGAACGGGATACGGGAGTGGTAATCGGCCGAGCGGCCTTGGAAAGGGTTTGGAGCGCGGATTGACGAAACATTGTAAGAAATCGCGGTGCTATACGCCTCTATCGTGGTCTCTTTAGCTGCAAAGACGAGATTTTTTTATCGTGGCCTTGGTTATCTGTCTCTCTCTTTTGCTCGTCAAAGGAGAAGTTGTGACGTTGGAGCAAGCCCGTTGAGCTCGCGTCGGTCACGTGACAGTTTTCGCGTTTCTCGAACAGCTTCTATTGTAACCAGCAAGAAGACCGAATTTGTAGATATAGTAAGGAGAGGATAGCTGTTGCAAAACTCACTACCATTGGGCTTATTTTTACTGAATCTTGGAGCAGTTGTCCCTGTATTCGATCACTTTTAATGCCAGAGCTCTTGTTTGTATATACTGACTAAGCAAAATTAACTTTCAGCGCTTAATCTAATTTCACGTGACGCTTCCGGCTCCATCGTGAAAGCTGGAATTTATTCGAGCCTCAATATCGAAATTTCCCAGTTGCAACGACCAGAAGCTCCCATTGGCATAGATCGGCTTATCCTACCTTTGGATAAAGGAGTGTGGCGCTACCTGCATGGGATTGAAATCATACATCTATGCTTAGGTGTGTTTGGCCATCCGCAATTCCTTCGCAGCTTGAAACTAACCTGGGGAGCTTTTTTTTCGCCAGTCTAGATGTTTATTCAACCATCCTCCATGCCGGCCATTCCCCTCCGGCTTTCCCTTAGAAATGTCCGCCATGCTCGAAGGGTCCCCAATTCACCATATGGGCATTCTTTAAGCGCAGTCTATAGAATAGCTCAAACCAATGGGCGTCACCTGTCTGGAGGGGCCGGGCGCCCTCACACTCATTATATCTCTGCATGCACCACTCGAGGGTATGCCACAGATAGAACCTCATCCGAGCTATCGTATAACCGCAAACCTCAATATCAGTCACAAGAAAGACATGCCTCGACGCAGGCGGTCGATAATGGGTCATTGGCCGGTGAGCCATCCATAAATTCCTCGCCGACGGAATCTGTTATATATCCAGAGCCATATTCCAGGTTGACGGAAACATACGCTAGGGAGAATGCGGCCTTGCCATCTTCTGAATCACTCTTGGCCTTACCTACTCTCCTTTCGAAGCCAGAATCCTCACTTCATACACTCTCACAAATGGGGATTGTTGAGATTGATACGGACGTTGCCAAACTTTCTGATATAGGAGCTGTGATGTGCAAATTGGTTTGTCGCGTTACACCTGCGTCAGGTGTGAGGGTCAAAGAGCCCATCGAAGTTGCAGGTCTTGGGCAGGATTCGGTGAGTCTCCATTCTTAACACATTTAGTTTTTTCCTCCTTTGGGCCACCTAAAAATCGGAATCATCTAGCTTAATGTGTACATTTGCTAAGGGTATTTGTTTGCACTTCTAGTACTCTGCAGAAAATGCCGCCTACGTTTTTCTCGTGTCTGCACTCCATACCAAGGGTTACCTTAACAAGATTGCACAATCGTTCAAGACCTTATGGGACATGAGAGCGCACCGCTTTGATCTATCAGATGTTTACCATTATGCTTCTCGGTTTGCATCCTTACCTGAAATACACTACCGATCCACACCGGAACCTGGTTTTACGTCATACGCCCAGCATGAAGTTAGGATTGAGTTGCCAGGTCAAAATATCAAATCTGTTGCTACGGGAGATTTCCTTCCCCGGGTCGTCACTGAAGCTTCTCGCTCCTTCATAGCTCAAACACCACGCCAGGGTATTCCAGGAAATCATGAGCGAATTAAAGACGATTCTGCTCTTACGGTGGATGTTGCTCCAAATCTTCTAAACTTTTACCTGTCAAAATATGATCAATCTAGCGAGATTGAATCACGATGTACCCAGGAAAACTTTGGCCCTTCTACGGTCTACTATGGGACACTTTATATCGATGGCCAACCTGTGTCAAAACCGGTAATGGCTGACTCCGCAAAATTAGCAAAATCCCTTGCAAGGCTCGCAGGAGCTGTTCATCTCATTAGCAAGAACCCGTCTCTCTGGCCAGACTTTATAAATGAGATGCGAGAAACTTCGCCCGTTGTTCACTCCGTCTCTGTTTCGATGTCTTCTGAAACTCTCTCCGCCATCCAAACCTCACTCGAAAATATTTACTACCCTAGTCCCAAAGGCCAGACTAAAACTAAAGAGACCTGTCCGAACAACATTGAGTCACTGTTTCCGAATGTCCTTGCTTCAGCTGTGCGCCAGGCCGAGTCTGTTGATCCACCTTTTCTCCCGTTTAGCAACCGTCCATTGGAGGAGTCGCTCCACGCGCGAAATTCTTTGCCTGCAAGGAAGCACGCCAAGCAAATCCTGGATACGATTAACGAACACACTGTTAGCATCATAGTTGGATCTACAGGGAGTGGGAAAACATCTCAAATTCCCCAGATGGTGCTGGAGCACTCCCCTAGTTCCAACATAATGGTCACCCAGCCTCGCAGAGTCACTACTACAACTATGGCGCGGCGAGTTGCGTTTGAACGTGGTGAAGCGCTTGGGAAATCCGTTGGATATGAAATTCGATGGGATGCTATAAAACCCTCGTCAAACAATGGTATCACCTATCGAACGACTGGAGTTATGTTACTGGATATGTTGCGGAGAGGCGATGAGATTTTGGACACTGTATCTCACATTTTTGTTGATGAAACACATGAACGTGATACTCCTACGGACCTCCTCCTCGCGCTATTAAGGAGGGAGATCAACCGACGTTCCAATGCATCCATGTCGATTCCAAAGATCATAATTATGACTGCAGACCCCGAAACCGCCGCCCTTGAAACCTATATGGGAGCTGTGTCCGAAAATGGAGAACCTAATCCAGCAACTCGCATGGTGATCCCAAATTCCTCTCATCCTGTTCAGCGTTACTTCCTTGAAGACATACTGCATTCTTTATTCTCCAATCATTCTGCTGAAGATTTGATGCCCTTACTCTCTGACACATCAACAAGCCAACATATCGCATCCGAAAAGGACTTGATCACTCCTGAACCCTCGGAAGGCAATGACGAGGCTAAGCTGCCTATTCCTAATGCATTACTAGAGGAGGCTACAGCCAACGCCCCAATCAACGAGAAAGAGCATTTTGTTCCTCTTGGGCTGACTGCTGCTACGATTGCTCATATTGCGAAAACAGAAGAGGAGGGCGTTATCCTTGCTCTTTTTCCCGGCCTTGACGTGATGAAGCGTCTTGAAACGTTACTCTATGACCATCCTCTTGGAGTTGATTTCAGCGATCGAACCAAATTTCAAATTTTCAAGTTACACTCTGGTCTGGGCGATATCGATGAAAATGTATTACGTCCAGCTAAGGACGGATGCCGAAAAATAATTCTGTCAACAAATATTGCTGAAAACTCGATAAATATACCAGAGGTCCGATATGTGGTCGATAGCGGGAAGAAACATGATTCGGTCTACGACCCGTCCACTGGGCTGCGGAAAGTAGTTGGTGGCTGGGTTGATAAGCTGGCTATCCATCAAAGGGAAGCATGTGCAAGCCGAACTGGTAATGGTTCCTACTATGCCACATTCACACAGTCGAGATATGACGCATTGACGAGGAGCACTCCTCCCCGGATCTATGTGGACGAAATTGAAACTGAATCTCTCCAGCTAAGAGCCACTTTACCCGACTTACCTCTCCGCGACTTCATGCGTCAGGTGCCAAATCCACCTTCGCTAGATCGTCTCAACAGTACCACTGCAAACCTGCAGTCAATTGGCGCAATAGATAATAATGGTGACATCACCGCGCTAGGTCGTATCCTATCCCTATTACCTGTCCCTCTAAAAGCTGGCAAAATGGTCATGCTCGGAATTCTATTGAGATGCTTTGAGCCTGCCTTGATACTTGGTGCTGCCACACATGCTCGCTCCCTTTTCATTCCATCTCGGTCTGAGAGATGGTATAATTCACCGCGCCGAAAGTTTGCAGGAGAAACCAACAGCGACCATATAGCAATCTTGAGAGCCTATCGAAAAATTAACCAAATTTCCAACAAGCATGGACAGGAAGCTGCTCGGAAATATTGCTTGCAGCACTCTATGAGCCATGCAACATATCTGGACATGGAGTTATTTATTTCACGGATAACCCTCACGCTTCGTCATCTCAACCTCATTCCAGCTACAGAGAGCGAGTCTGGGGAGAACATCCTCAACGAAAACTCTGGCGATCACTCGGTTCTTAGGGCACTTATCACTGCCACTGTAACCCCAAATATTGCCATCAAGCCCAGTGATAGTGGAGGCCAATGGCACACCAAGCGCTTCCCGGCAGCCGTCGTTAGCAATAAAAGCACGAATTCGTTCCAGAAAAGCTGGGCGGGTCGAATGCTAGCGTTTAACGAAGCCTTGAACTTCCATAGTGAGGCTGACGCAATCATGATGGACACGACGTCTGTTCACCCGCTGATGGCCTGCCTTTTTGGTGGAAACCTTTCCCGTGAGGATAATGCACTTTTCCTTGACTCCCATTTAGCAGTCAAAATAAAATCTTTGGATGGCAGTATGGAAAGTGGCTCTCGAGCTGCTAGTGCCGTTGTTAAGGCAAGGAAACTGATAGACAAGGTATGTCTTTGTGCTCTTTTATGCCATTCAAACATTCAGAAGGATCGCATTTCTAATCATGTTGCTGGTATATAGGCATCCGAGGATTTCTTCAACGACCTCACCAGCAACAGAAGCTGGGCTGAGGCGGAATCTGACCGTCGACGCCTTGCGACAGAGATCAAAAGCATCATAGATACCCTGCCTGATACCCGCCAGTCAGGCCCGCTGATACGAAAAATGCCCTAAATCACACACTGCTTATTGCATAGAAATTCTAGAAATGTACACCTACTCATCTCAGACTTTGGGCTCCCCTATCCGTTCAGCATATTTTTTGTATTATCATCAGGGGCCGGAGTTGTGATGGATGCTTGATTTTTGTTCAACCACTGAGGATTTGATGTATAATCGGGCGGAGCAAAATGGAGAGTGTATATATATTCTCAGCGTACTGTACCATAGAATAGAATCGAGGGTTCGATAACCTTTTTGCCATCGATGGATATTTAGCCTTGGTTGGCCAGTACATGACTAGCAAGCGCCAGGGGTCGTTTTGCATGTGTAATGACGTTCTTTGAGCTTAAGGGCGGCACTTCCTTGCTGTAGCTCGAAATCACTGCAACCTCCTACGTTTCCGAGCGCCTTCACACACCATGACACAATTAAATGCGCAATCCCCTTTAAGAACTTTGATATAGCCGAATTAATGACTGCTAGTCCCAATATTGGGCCTTCTGTCCTGTGACAACATGAAGCTGGTTCCTCCCGGCAAATTCTGTTCCAGCTTGATCCGGCAGCGGCCAGCTTTGCGCACTCCATCCGCCGTTACTCCGCGATACCTAGCCTCTTGCTCTTCCGTATTTACGCCAGCGCCTTCGCCGTCTTGCCTGTCCTCTACCCGACGGCTATCGCAATGGTGCTCCGGAGCCCGCTGGAGAACGTTCCAGAGGAGAACTCCCGGCTATAACTACGGGGGAAACGATTCACATAGCCGGGAAAGTTGGAAACGCAGTCGACACTCCAGAAGCAGCTATGTCCTTCTCGTAGCTACAGTCGGCGCTGCGACATTGACACCAGCAGCTCTGCTTGAGCTGGCAGAGAAGAAGAACCACGAGGACGAGTCGAGCACTCGAGAGCGTGAGATGCTCCACGCATCAAGGGCAGAAGCACGGAGTATACGACGTACCGGGAGAGGTATAGAAGACGACAGCGATGGAGGCGATACCGAAAGACAAAGGGCTCGGAATGTCTTATGGCGCATATACGGCTTTCTGGACGAGTACATATTCGAGGTGATTGCTACGGGGTTTCGGTTCGTTCACCTGGTGGTTCTATTTATCCCGGTAATAGCGAGCGTCCCAATAGTTTTCCTTGGGAGGAGGGTGAAGGATCGAGATAACCACAGGAGAGGAGCTCTGCTATGGTATGCCCTTGTCGTGTACACCATGGAGCGTGCCGGGTCGGCATTTATCAAGGTAGAACCAAATCCCATCCACATAAACAACCACTGTTGCTCGGATGGCAGGCTAACTGTTGCTTCCATTGAAAATGCAGCTTGGGCAATGGGCTGCTTCAAGGTCCGATATCTTCCCACCTGAACTATGTGCTATGATGTCCTCCCTGCATTCACATGCGCCGGCACATCCCCTACATATTACAAAACGTACGATCAGTAGAGCATTTAATGGCCTACCTTTTGATGAGATATTTGAGGAATTCGACGAAAAACCACTTGGTGTAGGTGCTATTGCCCAGGTGTACAAGGCAAAGCTGCGCCCGGACCTGGCTGGATCCCTTGATCGTGCGTCTAAACCTACCAATCTCCGCGAGAAGATGAGAAGAAACGTCAATGTCCTGGTGAAGAGCACCCCAGAGAGCGTCCCGTCGTCATACATTGCGATCAAGGTTCTCCATCCAAATGTTGATAGGACCGTGCGACGAGATCTACGGATTATGGGATTTTTTGCTACCTTGATACACTGGATCCCTACTATGGAATGGCTATCATTACCTGATGAAGTCGAGAAGTTTGGAGAAATGATGAAACTCCAATTGGACCTACGGATTGAAGCAGCGAATCTAGCGTTTTTCCGGGAGAACTTCAAATCAAGAACTACAGCTCGGTTCCCCTATCCATATACTGAGTACACCACCCGCGAGGTCTTGGTAGAGGAGTTTGCTCAGGGTATTCCGCTTGCTGCATTCTTAGAGAATGGTGGCGGTGTGTTCCAGCATGACATTGCTCAGGAGGGATTGGATGCTTTCCTTCACATGTTGCTCATTGACAACTTTGTCCACTCAGACCTGCACCCCGGTAACATTATGGTACGTTTCTACAAACCAAGCCAGCTGGACCTCTCCCTGAGTGTGCAGAGTCCCCACGGAGCCTTGGTATCAGAGAGTGGGAATACTGCAACAGAATCGGTTCTTTCACGATTGAGGAAGCACCGGAAGGATCCAAAAGCTTGGAATGAAACCCTGAAGCAGATTGACGCCGAAGGATACCGGCCTCAGCTGATCTTCATTGATACCGGTCTTGTCACAGAGCTCAACGCTGTGAATCGACGTGATTTCCTTGACCTGTTCCGAGCCATTGCTGAATTCGATGGTTACAAAGCTGGTTATCTCATGATCGAGAGATCCCGTCAACCTGACACCGTCATTGACGCCGAAATATTTGCGCTCAGGATGCAGCATCTCGTTCTCAGCATTAAGGGAAGAACATTTGCCTTGGGAAATGTGAAACTCGGAGATGTATTGAGTGATGTTTTATATATGGTTCGGAATCACCATGTGAGACTCGAGGGTGACTTTATCAATGTCGTCATCTCCGCTCTTCTCCTGGAGGGCATTGGTAGGAGATTGGACCCAGATTTGGATATATTCAAAAAGTTCGTTCATATTCTCCTTTCCCTTCACCTCTTGCTTCTTTTGTTTCATTACAGTCACTAACCGACATATGAATAGTGCATTGCCAATCCTCCGCCAACTTGGCTCCAAATCTACGCTGCTCAAGTCCGTTCGTGAAGGAGACACATCCATGCTCCGCGTATGGGTTGGGCTAGAAGCACGAAGCTTCCTCAAAGCCAGCATCTCCAGCGTCGAAAAGTGTGTGAAGTACGATCTCCTGTCCCCGAACATTTAGCCAACATATATTACTACATTATTTATATTATCTCCATATATCCTAGGCATAGTCAGTCATTGCTCTTTTTTCTAGCTATACCGGACGACACCTGTACATAATATCGGCTACATCTTCTTGCATCTGGCGGAACACTTTGGCTCTTTGCATGTACATAGATCGAGGCTTTCCCGAAGTTTGGTAGCCCCATCTTCGAACTGTGGTTAAATACGTAAATAAACACATCTCCTACCATCAACTCTTTATCGTCTTCGATAATCCAACTAAATAATCCTTGACGGGGGAAGAGAATATATTGATGCCATATTCACTATCCAGCATTGGGCAGCATCGCTCGGGATAAATATGCCGAGAGAGGCGATTGATTCCAGCTGCTCTGCCTCCCTGCTCCACACACAAACAAGTGATCCCCGTAGATCTCACACAATAGCTGCAGATGGGAAAATTTCCAGCATTCATATCCGCAGGAGTTGACAGTTGCCAGCAGAGACCGATACAGCGACTGGAGGGGGATCGAAATGCCATTCCCTAGCCTGCGTCTGTACGGTGACGATGGCGATTCCGCGATATCTGCGTCGACCTGGGGATGAAGGATACCGAACTCCCACCATCGAAGACACGGAGAAGAACCTCTCGCTCTCGTTTGTATTTCCATCTCAGCCGCCGACCCCTCGCTGTCCCACGCCGCCTGTCCTGTCGCAGTTCCGTCAACGGCCGCCGCTTGCACATAACCTGCCCAAAATACACGGAGACGGCGATGGGAATGGGACGATAACGCCAGTGCAGCTCCTGGAGAGCCAGCTCCCGTCACTCAGCTGGAGAGAGCGTATTCAGCATCTGACATGGTCGTTTTTCACGCTGACGATGGCCACAGGCGGGCTGGCGAATGTCATCCACTCGATCCCTGTCGACGCCCGGTGGCTGGAGATAATCGGGCTTGTGATCTTTCTGGTCAACCTGGCCTTCTTCGTGGCCATCAGTACATTGATGTGTGTACGGTTTTATCTATATCCATACACCTTCAAAGCATCGTTCCTGCATCCGACAGAGTCGCTATTTATCCCTTCTGTGATTGTGTCGTTCGGGACAATTCTTATCAATGTCGCACAGTACGGTCCCAGTCATGCAGGAGAATGGCTGGCCCATGCAACAGTGGTTTTGTTCTGGTTTGATGCAGCGTTGGCTGTTATCTTATCCGCAGGCATCTATCTCATTCTGTATGTACTCCTATTGTACTCCCATGGCCCAATTGTACTCTTACCCAGGGGGAGGACCAGATGGCTGATATCATGTTTGCAGGTGGTCGACACAGACGTTTACAATTGCTAAGATGACGCCTATATGGATATTCCCAGCATACCCAATGCTAATTATTGGCCCTCATGCAGGAATTCTGAGTGCCAGCGTGCCTCAGAATCACGCTCTTCGAATCATTATCGGTGGCTGGACTATCCAGGGGATTGGCTTCCTGGTCTCCCTCATGGTATATTCTGCATTCATATACCGATTGATGACGCAGAAGCTACCAAATGAATCCCTCAGGCCAGGGATGTTTGTATCTGTCGGACCCAGCGCGTTTACAGTAGCAGGGATCCTAAGCATGGCCGAAAATACTGCCAGATCACTGCCTGCCGACTTCATGGGAGACGGAGAACTAACAGCAAAGATAATCTATGTCGTTTCGAACTTTGCAGCTCTGTGGCTATGGGGGTAAGTCAGACAGTGCCCCGATATATGGATATGTATGCTAAAAAGAAGTGTTCTAGGCTGGCGGTCTTCTTCTTCTTTATAGCAGTCTTTGCCCATTGGACACCAGCTCGTCGTGGGCGGATGACCTTTTCGATGACCTGGTTCTCCTTTGTGTTCCCCAACACCGCACTGACAACGGCCACCTTTGCTGTGGGAAGGGCATTCAACAGCAATGGCATCCAAATAGTTGGCTATGCCCTTACAATCCTGCTCTTCATCACCTACTTCTTCGTATTCTTTATGATGGTGAGGGCGATCCGGGGTCGCCAGATTCTGTGGCCGCAGAAGGGAGAGGACAAGGACGAGGGAGGATTCAAGATCAAAGAACACAAGCCGGATGCTAATGGCGTCCTACCAACACACTCGTAGCCATAACTAGCTAACCAGAGCGTTCTATGTAGCAAGCATGTATCTGTATCTCAATTTCAGGCTGTATTTTTTTGGTTGTCGCCCTTATTAGGCAGCCCGGCGTGTGCCTCCTTGCTTCCCCCCTATCAGGCACTGCTGCCGCCCACCTGCTATCCAGCACGGCAAGGTGGCCGAGTGGTCTAAGGCGTCCGACTCAAGTTTCAAACTTAGTTTGTGATCTAACACGAGCTTGCATTCGAATGTGGTTTACACGCGTGGGTTCGAATCCCACCCTTGTCATCTTTTTTTTTTTTTTACTTTATTTATTTATTTATCTTCATCGGAAGCATAAATGAGTATTTGATTTATTTTAGTTTTTTTTTTTAATTATATGTATGTATGTATCCGTAAGATAGTCTAGTCTGCTCATATCACACATGCATACTCGTCCTTGTCGCCGTTATGTGTCAGGGATGTGGTTACGAGGTTAGATACGTGAAGGTTTATAGCAAACGTCTGCTCTTCACCTCACTAGCGAGTACAGTTACATTACTATCAGGAGAGTTAGAGACGGACGCCCTTTTCCTTCTAGAAGGAGTACCTTGTGAGTCCGGCGTTCAAACTAATATACGCGCAGTGGGTAGCTGATACGGTGTGCTTTAGATTTGATAACTAGCGATAACTAAGTACTAAGTTAGCACGTGAAGAGAGGATGTCGTGATAGAGATGGATCTCAGGAGTCCTCAGGAGTAACCAAGACATATATCAAACTCTCTCGCTATCTCAGACCGGCTCTTAAGGCACGAAGTGGCTATACTGCATGGAAATCACCAGTTGGCGGTTCCCCACGGTTCACTGAGTCAGAAATAGACTTGGCTGTTAGGATTTCATGTCTAGACCAGCAGAAACAGTTCCCATAGGAGCTGAAGTTCCCTAGGATTCCAGCTGATCTATGGAGCAGCGACGGCTATCTAGTTATCGGTGGAAGCCGGATCATCTGCCCATGAGCCGGACGTGAGGGATTGACACAGCATCCTAGTCGAAAATATCGTACTGCTCGAATCAGGCAATAACAGGTGCTTCTGACAACAATAATGTCAGACCATGAAGACTGTCTCCTAGTGTTCCTCTGCGAAGCGATAGCATTTTAGCCGTGACATTCCGTATACCCGTGGATGCCATGTCGACCGACCACCAGGATGAGGGAGAGCCCTATGCTCTTTGTGGTCAAGTTGCTCGGACTGATGATCTCTTAGCATCCCGTATTTTTAGATGCGAGAGAAGGTTGGCGTCACTCTTCACGATATCCGCCCTTCTAGAAGACATTGGTATGACGGAATTACCTTGTGCTTACCAAAGGCCGTCTGCAGGTCCCCACTCCCAGTTTCTAATATCCTTCTCTTCACATTGGCTTCCCCACAAAGTCTCCCTCCGCACCAGGACTGTCTCGGAAGCCGAGTCCGAAATAATGCAGCAGAAAGAATTAATAGTGACAACAAAGCAAGCGACGGAGATGAAGAAGAGGATGAAAAGGTTTCTGTTACGAGACTTCCGTCCCCCGCATTTCTCCGTGCCAGGGATGCAATCTGCGCGCCGCGTTCCGTAGCGCCGCCAACAACGTGGCATCCCATTCATCGAAGGGCGTCTAAAATCAGGAATGTGTTGGCTCTGGCGACCGACTTCCGTCGAGCAGGTCCCAATGTCTATATGATCTTGTTATTTTCGAGCCACATTAAAGGGGATTCTGGTGATCAATTGGTCCTTGTTGTTTCTGCTGGCAAGGAGCGCGAATGCCCGGCTAATTGAGAACGAGAGATCGTCGTTGAGAAAACCAAGTCAAACGCAGCCAAGCAAAATTGCTTCAGATACTGACAACAGGACACCAACTCCCAAGGTGGCTGATCGACACAGTCTGTGGGGAAGAAGACAGCAGTTCTCTCTCTTCTTATCCTTCTGTCTCTTCTTGAAATGAAAGCACTCGGTGACGGAGAGGCCACGGTCTGTCCGTCGATCCAGCACTCCCAAGAAAGATTCTTTTTCTATAATGCCAGCATACAACTTCCCATATGACACAGTTACAAGGATGCTTTTGCTAAAGGTACCTGTATACTGTCGCAGAAGGCCTTTCTGAGTGTGCTGTGGAGCGAGGGGCCAAGTACAACAGTCAAGGTTCTTTCTTCAGCTGTGTGAGATGAGAAAGATGATGGATCACGAAGATAAGGAGGCAGATGATGGCATAACCATCCCTCCGCTCCATAGGGTAACATTTCACGATATGAATAGAACAGATCTACACGCCACTGTGTGTGCAGAGATCGAGCTCTCCAATCTCACAGAGCACAAGAAGGACATGCCACATGCTTTCCAGGACAGATGTCTAACTTTATCGCCAGCTTTATCGCCAGCTCACTATCAACACGAAACGAAAGGATTCTAGTTTGAAGAATGAGGCCTGAGCTGTTGTTAGTGTCGCTCTAGCTGCTTCTACTCCGTGTTCAACTTGCATCCTCCACACGCCGGAAGATAGGAAGATAAATATTCCCGTCGTGGAATAGGCCTGTGGAACCGCCAAGGCAAGGCCGCCCTTGCGATCTACAGACAAGCCTCGCCGTGGCGGCTCACTCGGCCCTGTCATCTGTCTTCCAAGAACGCCATCCTCCATGCATTGCTGGGGGCTGCAAAGATCCATGCTCCTGGTCACACATGCTCGCGGTGTCTCCCAGCCCCTTTATACTACTTACCATCTTATACGGAGTACAGTCCCTTTCCCTGATAATATTGCATCATTATGTCATCATGCACTAACAAATCACGTGCATTGGTTTAACTCTCTCCCGTATTACATAATAACCTTACTTTAACGCAAACGAAGAAAAAAAGGCAAAAAATGAAAGAAGTCGAAGAAGCAGAAGGACAAGATATAATAACACGAGCAAGGGCGACAAGAATACGACAACGAGGGAGGATGGCGTCAGCCAAGCCGGTCGCTATCTTCATCTCCAAGGTATGAGGGCTGTGGCTCAACTCCTCGCCAACATGGGGGCATGGGGATAACAAGTTGGTATTGTTGTCGACTTGCATGAAAAAAATGTTGACAGTTGTTATCAAACCCCCCTGCAAAGTTGCCGGCCACGGGTGTCTCAAGGCTCAGACGAGGCAGAAGAAGGCTCAGAAGGTCACCGTGCTAAGTCTGTGTTACGGGCGACGACTACGACACGAGGAAGTAGCTGGCGAGTTGGGTCAGCAGTGGGCTCAAACTCACTCGTGGCGGGATAAACATGTCTTAACGGTGCGAAAGGAAATTGGTCAGCTCACTCACTAACTTACTTCCATGGTTACCTAGGGGCAGCGGGTCCACTCTGAGTTTCTGACTTACCTGACGGCCTTGTCCGACGCATATGGTCCTGCGCCATAACCAACTGCTTTCTCGTGTGCCTACTTTAATTAGATTGGACCAGCTTCTGTGTACGTGGCTAGGCATTTTGATTTACTTGGAGAGCAAGAGTTTCTTGTTCCCAAGAGTACGGAGAACGGAGTACGGGGTACCTGATCGGATGTGCCGTTGCATGGTGGCCAAGGAAATTGCTCGTCGAATCGCCAAAGATTAGAACAACGCCTATTAAATTAGGAGGTTCTAAAATAGACGACTAACTCCATGCCCCTCTCCCAATCCGACCTTATACAAGGGTATGGGCGCGCCAGAATGGTGGCTGCCCCAAAGCAAGGTTCGACTCTACGAAGCTTCTTTCCCACAGAGGCTATGGCCGCGTATGGCGCTATGGGCTCGAGTTACACCTGGCGTTATGGTTGATTTGCCGCCTGTGAAGAAGAAATGAAAGAAATTATATGTTCACTCATCTCTGGTGTTTTGTTTTATTTGTTTTCCTCTCTTCGAGCGTCTCTGGACGAATCAAAGGAAATATATTGGGGTCGCCAGAAGCTGTGGTTTTGTCTAGCGGAAGATCGACATGCCGCTATGATATCTCACTGGCCTCACGCCTTGCAAAATATGTATATCATGTCTGTTCTCTCGAATGTTTCAGTACATTGCCTGACCCATCGGTTGAACGTGCCTTCGGATGCCGAGGTTGGTTGGAACGCAGAGTTTGGGTTTCCTACCCCTGGATAGGCTTCAAGGATTACCATGCTTGAATTGTCTTTTTCGCGGGGTTTCATGCCATGTCTGGGATTTCGCAATGAAAATCTCCGCATGACCCCTGCCCGCCAATTCTCTGCGTGATAATGCTGCTGTCCTTGATTTAACCGTGTTTTCATGGTTATCAGAATGCGGGGGCCAATCCACACCCACCGTTCCTCTCTTGAAGAAGCGGATCTGCGCTCTCAGGGCCTCCGAAATCCCAAAGCCTCATTCGTGCCCACTATCGTCTCATCTCTTCCCCTTTACGGATGTCCTCCGGTGCTTCAACATTTGTATCTATACATGCTCTCCCGACCCACCACATAGCAGCGAGCAATAGGGAGTCCGAAACCAGCCGGCCTCATCCTCCCCATTTTAGTGATCTTCGCTGAATGTTACATTCCGGCTTCAATATCAAAATTACCAGATGACTTATACCTTCGGCTGCATATTCTCTCTATTCTCTCACTGCTTCCTGATACGACGAGATGAATGCCGATCAAAAGCACAGCCTAACCAGCTAGCCCAGGACACCATAATCATGCCCTTCGAGAAGCGCCTTGCCTGGGCACTCCGATGCCAGGGATATCGAAGGCCGGCGAATTGGTACCCAATTTTCGTGCTGATGGGGAAGTGAAAGGACGACAGCCAAGGGATTCCGCTAACGGAGCTCTCATGATTCCCGTAAATGGGTACCTTTTGGTTGACATGACTATAAGCTGTACCCCAATTCCAAAAATCTATATCAAGGCCCTCCTCTCCCACCAGAATTCTGGTTTTCTCTCTCCTTCCTCTCTCCAAGCAATCAATTGCCTTCACCTTTCCCTCTTCACCAGCCAAAAGCACAAAGCTTACCATTCAATATGGGTTTCATTACTAAGGCCATCCCTCTCGCCCTGGCGGCGGCATCTGTCATCAACGGCGCTGAGATCATGGAGACTCGCGCTGGTGTCCAGACCCTCGCTGACAAGTACATTGTTGTCATGAACGATGGCATGACCGACAAGGACTTCGACTCCCACCGCTCCTGGGTTAACCGCACCCACCGCCGCCGTTTGATCCGCCGTGGCGCCAAAGCCATGGGTGGTATGAAGCACACCTACCGCTTCCCAACTGGCCTCAAGGGATACTCTGGTCACTTCGATGAGCAGATGATCAATGAGATTTCCAAGCGCGCTGATGTACGCAACAATTATATCTCCCTAAATGAATACCATCAACTCACAGTGTTTCTAGGTCAAATACATTGAACGTGATGCCCGCGTCCAAATCAACGCTATTGAACAGCAGGACAACGTTCCATCCTGGGGTCTTGCCCGTGTCGGCTCCAAGGAGCCCGGTGGCACCACCTACTACTATGACGGCACTGCTGGCGAGGGCAGCACTGCCTACGTTATTGACACCGGTACCGATATCCAGCACGAGGAATTCGAGGGCCGTGCCACCTGGGGTGCGAACTTCGTTGATGACATGGACATGGACTGCAACGGCCATGGTACTCACGTCTCTGGAACCATTGGTGGTAAGACCTTCGGTGTTGCTAAGAAGAGCAACGTCGTTGCCGTGAAGGTCCTCGACTGCAACGGCTCTGGCTCCAACTCTGGTGTCATCATGGGTATGGAATGGGCTACCAAGGACGCCCAGCAGAAGGGTGCCGACAAGGCCGTCGCCAACATGTCCCTTGGTGGTGCCTTCTCCCAGGCCTCCAACGACGCCGCTGCAGCAATTGCTAAGGGTGGTGTCTTCTTGGCTGTTGCCGCCGGTAACGACAACGTAAGTGCCTTCCGTCTCGGAAACATATACTGCGTCCATTGTGCTAATCATCATATCTCTAGGTCGATGCCGCTGATTCCTCCCCAGCTTCCGAGCCCTCCATCTGTACCGTTGCTGCCTCCACCGAGCAGGACAGCAAGGCCGACTTCTCCAACTTCGGTCAAGTTGGTATGTATATTCCATTTATTTACCTCTAGAGGCGACAAAGGGAAACAGTGCTAATATAAATTCCAGTTGATGTCTACGCTCCCGGTGACTCTATCACCTCCGCCAAGCCAGGTGGTGGATCTCAGGTCCTCTCCGGTACCTCCATGGCCACCCCACACGTCGCCGGTCTCGGTGCCTACCTCATTGGCCTCGGCAAGGGCGGTGGCCCCGGCCTCTGCGACACCATCAAGCAGACGGCCATCGATGTCATCCAGAACCCCGGCGCCAGCACCACCAGCAAGCTCATCAACAACGGATCTGGCATGTAAGCGGGTAACCTTCCTTGGAAGCTTGCTTTTGACTGGAGAATTCATGAGTAAACCACTTCCCCTAGTGGCTTTCTTTCTTTCCCCTTGAACATATATGAAGAGCAATGGTCGAAGCTTTTCGACTTGTAAATAGCTTACTGTTTTGACGGCTGTGCCTCGTTTCTTTCCTTAATCAGGTAGCTTCGTCCATCTATGTACATACCAATGGATTAACATGAAGTTCCTTTAAAACTCTCTCTCCTTTTCCTGACCTGAACTCCTCTTAGTCACTACCCTTAGCTTGAGGTTCAATACTTAGCGTGATATTGGCATCTCGACTGGGCGGCGCTGCAAGCTCGCTTCATGCAAGTTCGACTTACTAGTAGTGGCTCCGGCGGCGCTTGTTCAGTCTTCGAGCTTAATTTTACCTGCAAGAACAGCTTAAAGCGGCCAGGCCAGTCTCCGCTTGATAAACGCCAAGGCCCTAAAAGCAGCCACACAGTCTAAACTTGCCTTTCCGTGAACAACAACAACATCAATCTCACTGATAACAGCCTGTCTCATCAGCTGTGAATTAACAGCTAGACACTGGGGGAACATCCTCCCTCGTTTTATGAATGTCTTCTATGCACACACTTGATAGGGCAGATCACTTGGAAGTATTATACCCACGGAAATGCAACATCTTTTCACCTGCTATTAATAGCCTCAGCTCCACTTAGCCCAAAACGTACTCCGGGACCATGCAGCCGCATGCCTGTGCAAGTTCACAAGTACGAAATATGGCTAAATAAGGACTCCGGGCGATGAGTCTATAAGCCAGATATTTTGACCTCCATCATGGAGATTATTATATAATAAGACTGGTGTACTCCCTCGGACCGGATCATGCAGAGTTACTCCTTTACTATAACTTCTTGATACCAGAGCACCAACTGTTTACAATGGATTTGACCCATATACTGGAGCGTACCTGCTCCAAAAGTGACTGCAGGTTTCATGCAGCTGTTTTTACGGCTGCTAATAAAGGTAGGATGGAAAAATTCTGGATAATCGAGATGATTACTAAAGGGGTTCTAGACCGGGTACTACATTCTATTCCCTATGGCACTCAAAACGTCGATGGGTCTGGGGATGCTGTGACGGAAAGATCAATGTTCTGGTGCGCATCTATGACTAAGATCGTCACGGCTGTTGCTGTTATGGTTGCTGTTGAAAAGGGGCTAGTAGGCTTGGATGATGACGTCGGGGCCATCTTACCCGAGCTGGCTGAGCCAGATATAATCGTCGGGTTTGAAGATGGTAATGATGGTATGTTTATTCATCTCCACAGGCGCATATACCAGACTGACCGCGCTGGTAGGGAAACCCATTCTTCGTAAAGCTAAGGAAACGGTCACCTTGCGACGACTGTTAACTCACTCTAGTGGGTTCGTCTATTTAGCTGTCAATTCATCTGTCAAGAGATGGGCGGAGTATCACAATCACACCGCTACCACTGATGTAACATCCAGGGTAAGTCTAATGTTATTCATAACCATTAGAAGATGCACTATGCTTGAGAAGAAGAGAACCTCACCTTCTATAGGAAACGTACCATCTGCCTTTGGCTTTTGAGCCGGGAAAATCCTGGGGCTATGGCCCTGGAGTTGACTGGGCTGGCTGTGTAGTCGAAAAAGTTTCAAATCAGAAGCTCGGGGATTTCATGCAAGAGAATATCTTTCAAAAACTCGGTATCACGGCAACCACGTTCCATCCTGAAAATCATCCTTTGTTCAACGCAAGACGTGTTGAACTTTGTCAACGAGCACCGGATGGGAGCCTATCCACGATTCCAGTCCCATACACAATCCCAGCGAAGGATGATTTGGGCGGTATTGGTTTATACTCGACGCCCAAGGAATTTACCAGATTCTTGCAGATGATACTTCGCAGTGGTGAGAACGTGTTGCGACCCGAAAGCATCAACACGATTCTTTCTCCCCAGCTCGAGTGTAATAAAGAAATAAACGCAATTCGAGACCGCGGCCCAAAGATCATGAGTCGCCTTGTTAACCCGGGAAAGGTGATTGATATGGGTCTGTCAGCAAGTATCAACCTGGATCGAGTCCCGGGTGCTCGTTACCCAGGATCTATCTCCTGGGCTGGGGCTGCAAACGCCTTCTGGGTATGTGATTTCCGTTATCTCTTGACACCTAGCTGCTACTTTTAAATGTGTCACCTCCTAATTCTTTGATATATAGTGGTTGGATATGAAAGCTGGTATCTGCGGTACCCTCTTTATGCATTCGTTTCCTCCTTTCGATATTGCTGCTTTGGACCTGCTGGATGAACTTGAAGCTGCAGCATACAAAATTGAGGGCCTCTAGCAAAGGCTGGTAACAAGAAAGCAATCTCATGATGCTAGCCCTAAGAAGTAGTTTAATTTGACTAGTTGTCGACGTTGGACTAACTAGTTAACTAAGTTGGTTAATTAGGTTACCGTTAGTTGGCCTCGGCAAGTTTATTTGTTATGACTTCACAGCTTCCAAGGTCCACGCCAACTACAACTTCACTTTTTCACTTTTAACATAGGAGAGTTGCAGTACAAAATACACATTTATATCACCTGAGGGCACGACTGACAACAATATACCACCATGTCTTCACCAGATAACCGTAAATCAGTCCTCATAACTGGGTGAGTACCTAAATCCCAGTCTGGTGATAGCAGAGGAGTTAACACATCTCCTTTAGCTGTTCGCCTGGAGGTATTGGCCATTCCCTCGCTCTTGAATTCCAACGCAATGGTTTGCGAGTGTTTGCAACTGCCAGGAATAAAGAGGTGCTTGTGGACCTCGAAGAGAAGGGAATTGAGGCCTTGGACCTGGTGGTTGACAACGAAAAGAGCATCCTAGCATGCTTTGACGAAGTCAAGTCCAGGCTAGGCGAAGGCAAAGGGTTAGATATTCTAGTCAACAATGCGTAAGTAATTCCATTCAGAAAGGGTGCTTTACTTTCAGTCTTTGCTAATGACTGTATCCAGTGGCCGGAGTACGTCTGCCATTATTTTCTCCTGTTCTATGTTTCCTGGGCTAACTGTATTAATTTCGAAGACTATACGGTTCCAGCACTTGATGTTGACATGGACGAAGTACGTCAGACGTTCGAAACCAACATTATAGGAGTGATCCATATGTGCAAGGTGTTTACGCCACTCATAATCGAAGCCAAAGGCACCATTGTGCAGATTGGATCTGTCGCCGGGGTAAGATATGCTTTCCAGGAGGTTGAAAAAGCCGTCTAATAATTCAACAGATAATCCCCTATGTTTTCGGTTCCGTATACAATGCCACGAAAGGCGCATTGCATTCCTACAGCGACACACTCAGAGTCGAATTGGAGCCATTTGGGTATGCACAGCGGATTACACTCTGCATATATCCGGATAATATCCGACACTAACTGAATGTAATAGTGTCAAAGTCGTTACTATCATAACTGGCGGTGTTCAGTCCCGGATTGCACGTACACCACGTCGTTTGGTGCCAGACTCTCTCTATCATCCTATTCGGTCCGAATATGAACGAAGAGTTGTGCACAGCCAGGATGGCGCCACGCCCAACGAAGTATATGCTCGACGGGTAGTCACCCAGGTGCTTTATGGGCCGGCTCCATGGCATTGGCTATGGCCGTGGGGTGTGAGCCCAAGAAAATGGGTTTGGGCTGGCAGCAAAGTTACCCCGATTTATCTGCTTTCTGGCGCATTCTTATGGTTTGGAACATTCAACTTCGTCCTCGGGCGCATGTTCAACCTGAGAAAATTGAAATACTAGTCATAATATCCAATTAAGCACGCCAGGCTGTCGAGTAGCAGATACGGGAAGAACGGCGATGGAGGGAGTATTGGAAATTTGTAATGTATCACTAGTTAAGCTCTACAGCTAGATTTCTTAAGCTTCGGGGTCATCATCCACAATCAATATTTTCTCCTCTTACATATCCTTATATATAACTAGTTACAGATTTCCAAAGAAAAAAAAAATGAGTCCTTCTATAGATTAACATGTGGCGTATACACTGAACCCACATTTTACGTGCTAAAATAAAAATAGTGACACAAGACGGAAAGGGAGGGGAAGCAAAAAAAGACATATGGACCGATAACTTCAAACAGGGGGTCGTGGGTTCACCTAATGCTCTTTTTCTGCGACAGGAGGAGTAAAAACGGTTAGTATGGCATGTTAGGGATCTGAGTAAGGAGCATACGCCTAGATTGACTCGTTGGGCCTTCCCTCACTCCCGGCGAGAAGGGCTCAGGCACACAAGAAGGGAGGGGAAGGATGCAAAAAGGTCGCAAATTGGTGGTCCGTGATTTAAATACCAAGGGTGAATTCAACGCCGACATCAATGTCTCGGGCCATCTTGACGACCTTGGAGAATTGGACGGACTTCTCGGCGGCGACCTGGAGATCCTCGATGGAGAAGATCTTGAGGCCAGATTCGCTGATCTATAGTATAGAGTTAGAGAAAATGATCACCTTGTTTCAATTGAGGTGTAGGATAGACATACCAAAGCATGGGCCTTCTCCATGTTAGTACCCTGCAGTCTGGCGACGATGGGAGTACGGAGGTTCATCTCTTGGACGACATTGATCAAACCCTGAGCAATGGCATCACATCTCACAATACCTCCGAAGATGTTGACGAAGATGGCAGTGACCTTGGGGTCGCTGGTGATGAGCTCGAAGGCAGATCGGATAGCAGCAGGGGTGGCACCACCGCCGACGTCAAGGAAGTTGGCAGGGCTTCCACCGTTAAGCTTGATGATGTCCATAGTGGCCATGGCGAGACCAGCACCGTTGACTTGATAGCCGAAGAGTTAGTACTTCGTTGATGAGAGGTAGGGAGTATTGAAGATGGGCTTACCCAAGCAGCCAATGTCTCCGTCCAACTTGATGAAGTTGAGGCCAGATCTATAAGCAAAAGTTAGAGCTGCAAATAAGATATAGAGGGCCGAATGGAAGAGCATACTCGGCAGCTTTGACTTCATCAGCATCTTCTTGGGTGGTATCTCTCCAGGAGAAGACCTCCTTCTGTCTGAAGTCGGCGTTGTCGTCGAAGCCAAGCTTGGCATCCATAGCAAGAACCTGGTGGTCAGAGGTCTCAGAGAGAGGGTTGATTTCGATCTGAGTGGCATCCTTCTCCATGAAGACCTTGTAGAGCTTCTTGATGGTCTCGACGGCCTCTGGAACACACTGTTCAGAGAAACCAAGACCTGTGGCAATGTTTCGGGCAATTTCATCGGTGACACCAGTGTGGATGTCAATTGGGGTGGTGGTGATGGCATCGGGGGTGTCCTTAGCAACAGCCTCGATATCCATTCCACCCTGGGAGGAGGACACGATGACGGGGGCCTGGGTTTGACGGTCCATCAGAATGGCAAGATAGAACTCTCTGCGGGCGAACTTGCGCTCGCAGATGTACACGGCGTTGCAGAGACGGCCCTGAGCACCGGTCTGCTTGGTTATCAATTTGTGGCCGATCATCTGGTCGGCGAACATGCGGGCCTCAGTTGGACTGGAGAAAGGGTTAGTTTAGCTCTGTGACGCCGCAAACGGCCAGCATCGACAGGATTGGGCTTGAACACATACGAGTAGATAACTCTGACACCTCCCTTCAAGCCATTGTCGAAGGTACCCTTTCCACGGCCACCAGCCAGGACCTGGGCCTTGATGACCATGTCCTCACCACCTACATCATATCCTTAGCCGTCTTTCTTTTCCGATTTAGTCAAATTTAGGTCAGGCGGAGGTAAATATACCGATGTTCTTTGCGATGGCCTCAGCCTCTTCGCCGCTGCGGGCAACTTCACCCTTTGGAACACCGACGCCATACTATATAGCAATCACGGGCGCGTTAGACAAAGGCTATGGGTTGCTGGTTGATAATGGGAGCTACAGCTGGCCAATACTAACAGACTTGAGAAGGTTGGCGGAGAGGTATTCGTGTATGGAGAGGTTCCTTCGCTGCGATTGAGCGAATCTGGTGCGAAGAGGCGACTCCTACAGGCATCACAGGTCCGACATGTTAGCATCCCGTGGACATCAAGACGTGAAAGGAAGCCTGTCGAGATACAATGGCTGTGGCTATGGCTCGATGCAGGCGGGAACGGGGAACTCACGACGGCGGATCTGAAAGCCGCAGCAATTGGCTTGCTACGGGCGAGCTTGAACATCTTGAAGAATCGGCACCGGGCGTCCAAACGAAGAGGGTTTATAGTACAGGGAGACAGACGATGCTGCGAGGGAACGGGGAGAGCTGGAGGAGGAAGAAGTCGAGTCGACGATGGTGTCCGGACAGTCGAAGGAGACGAAGAAAGTCGAAGTTGCAGTCGAAAGAAGAAACAAGCAAAAAAATCGGAAACGTGGTAGAGCGCGGTAATACGGATACAAATACAGCCCGATCTGCTCCGGGTACCGCAAAAAAGAGCGTGGGCGGTACTGAAATATCAATACGATAATTACGAGCCTAATAAATGCTTGTTTTGCTTTCTTCAACTTTGCCGAATTTCATTTTGATATCAAAGAATTTGGGACTACCAGAAAGCTGAACGGGCGGCAGAAGAAAGACGAAGGAGAAAGATGCCGGCTACGAGCTCCGAGGCGGATGTGATATTCAACAGAGCCAACGTTGCTCTTGCGAGAAGCCAGAGACTGATCGCATCCTGGCTGCCTCCTAAAACGGCCGATGAAACAGCCAATGCAAAGTCTGAAGAAGAGCTCCAGAAGGAAGAAGATGAGATATTCACGGCAGTCCCAGAGAAGTGAGTAGCAGCCTGTGTGGATGTATTTGTATTTTTGTGTCTTTTTTTTTAATTGTGTAAAATGTAGAAGGTCTCTAAGCTAATTTTGCGACTTCGTGCGTTTTGGTAGACTGGGCCTGGGAGCTCCTATTCCGCAGAAAGAAGCTGACGGCTGCATCAAACGAACTGAACTCAGCTCTAATGACAAGCTTCGGAAGCAGCTATTAGGCAAAAACTTTCAAAAGGCCGAAGCATCAAGGTTGAAAAACGCCAACGCCCAAACCAAACAGACCGGTCCAACCCCCAGCCAGAAAAAAGAGATAGTCGAGGAAAGTGACGAGGAAGACGGCAGGTCAGCGTTGGGTAAAGGCAAGAAAGGGAAAACTTCCAGTGACCAGTCGCCAGCTGCTTCAGGGGCGGATCCTGGTGGGAAAAAGAGGGCCAGTAGTTATTTGGATGAGGTTCTGTCACGGAGAAAATCGAAGAAAGGGAGAAAATGACCCGTCATTCCATCATGCTGCATCGTCCTTCGGTTGTCCGGATTGGAATTTCCTCAATAAATCCTCACAGGTAGTGAGCCCACGGCTCTTTTGGCTCCTCTGACTCTGTGGTGTTGATGCCGAGTTAGCTTGTGTCCTCCCTTCTCCGTTTGGCTGAGATGCGGTTTCTGGCTGTGACCGCGGCTGTGATTGCTTCTCCTGTTGCTGGCGCTGCTTTTCAACAAGTCCTTTAGCAGGCTGGGCTGTCGTGCCGTTCTGCGATGCTGATGGCTCTCCAGAAACGGGTTGTGGTTTTGGGCCCGGTGGCTTCTTTTGCTGCCTGAAAGGCTCCAGCAGGCTTTCCATATAGATCTTTTCCTTCTGTATCACGGATCGTTGCATCCGGTTCACTTCTTGCAGAAAGTCAACATTGGCACACTCTCCCTCCATCTCGCCAACGACGTTCAAGGTCACCCATAGACGTCTCATTCCGCTTCCCCGGGAGAATTTCTCGTATACAACGGAAGCCAGCTCTGCCGGGACCTTTCTCCCGGTCTGATCGAATAGTTCAAGCATCTGCTTCATAACCAGCTTCATCCAGCTTTCTCCTCCCATCTTCTGGCCAATAGAGTACAAATCAATCAAATTGTTGTACTTTGCAGCCGTGTCCACGGCCACTCCAGGCCGCATGTGGGCGCCATACAGCCATTCCACCAGGTCTGTGAATGCCTTGGAGTCTAGGTCCGGACGCTTGACTGGACCTGTAGATTTTCCCAAGTCGAAGAAGGCCGAGAGCCCAGTAGATTCTAGCAAAAACGAGTGAACCTGGAACTCCTCCTCGTCTGGCCCGATGATGAACTGGACTGTGGTTTTGAATGGGTTCCTATCCATCTTGTCAGCGTGTTTTTGCGTTTCTCTCATGGTAGTTAGGTCTAGAAAGAATAAACGAAAAAAAATATGTAGTCGAAACCAGAAAATATGTAAACAAAGGACTATAAAAGAAAGCAAAATACAAACATTGATCTGACGGGCAAGGCAGCAGTTTCGTCCACACGCTCAACAGGCTCAGCAGGCTCAACGGTCTTCTGCCTCTTCTCTGGTATCACTTCCTGCCTCGCTGCCGAAGCAGACGCGACTCTCTTCTTGCCTCCTTTCTCTGGTGTCTCTGACGTGTTTGAGTTCTTCTTCCGCGTCGCCATCTGGCGCTGGCGTTTGGTCGATCTCGACGTTTCACTGAAGAATAAACTGTCATTCGAACTCCCGGCTGAATCTGAGGTATATCCCCCGCCTACATCGTCCAATTGGCCTATGGTATTCGCCTTCTGCAGCTTGCTGGGCGGAGAGAGCGGGAGTGAGTCTTTCATCCCTGAACACCCAAAATTAACCTCGCCAACGCCAAGAGTTCTGGGTTATAGCTAGCAATGTATAGCCAGCCCAGGGCCAATTCGGTAGCTGAGTAGATGGATCGAAAAATATTTGAATGGAGGTTGTATAAGTATGGAGGGTGAGCCTTGTTTGTCTGTTGAAGAAGATATTTATAGTCAGGAAGTCTGCTAGCAGACAAGTGGGAAGGTCCCTTCTCGGCATCCTACAGTAAGAGATAGCAATAGACATAGAGACATAGCTAGAAAGACACCATAGCTACTCCTAACATGCCTAGGAGGGACTGGATATTGAAAGAAGTCTCTGGGCTAAAAGCTTCTCATTTTGCACATTTAACTAAGGATAAAATAGCTACAACTACCTCCCTATGCCATGGTATATGCATGCCTCTGCACAAATGCTGGATCCATCCAAAAAGAAAAAAACACCTCCCTCCCACCATTCCGCCTCCTCCCAAAGAGAAAGAAAGACACATAAAAGCCTAGACTAGGAGCTGTAAATCCCATTCCCAATGGCTTTACTGTACAGCAAACAGAAAGGGGACCGTCCGACCTAACACCCTGTAACCGTGAAGAGCCTGAGGTAAATGAGATAGACAGGCAGAAGGGGATTTGAATGAATGGAGAAGGGTGGGTTGAAAGAGGAAAAGAAAAACAAAGTAGAGGGTGGTAAACTGAGAGAAGAGAGTAAACGAGATGGATATATGTATATATCCTGTACGCCGGAAAGAAACAGCCTGGTTGACGGAGACGGGTAGCTGGTGGTATATAAGAAGAGAGAGGACGCCGTCTGTCATCGATGCATGGCAAATTGAAAAGGGAAAGAAGTCGGAGATATACAAAAAAATCACAATAACAGTAAGCTGGTTATGGCGATGGCTGTAAAAGCAAATGGGTATTTTTTCACTTTTAGAAAAAGGGATGCTTGAAGGGATCCAAGATGGCTTTCTGGTATGGTATAATAGAGATGGAAGAGAACACAACCAAAAAGAAAACTAACAATCAGAAAAAACAAAAAAAACGAAAGAGAATTGATATATATGGTGGAAGGGAAAGAAAGCTGGCTCGTCACTGGAGCCTCTTTCGTTTCCGGTCTTCTCCCAGTGGGCCATCGGGGTCGTCTACCCGCTCAGCTGCGCTAGATGGGTTCAGCAGTGAATGTACGTTGCTTGCCATGCTTGATCGACGGGTGGCGGGCATTGACTCTACTGGACGCGGGAACTTGGGCCCTCCGATAGCCCAGCCATTGTCCGGCTGGGCTGGGTCAAGAAAAGGTGGCGTAACTTGTCTGAACTGTTCTTGCTGCCGTCGTGGTCCACCGAGCTCATACCGCGCCAATGCATCTCGGACATGCTGGTCAGAGGAATTGTGGTTTCGACCTGGTGAAGAAGGCCATTGCATGGATGGGTTGTGGCCATACTGTGAGCTGGGAGAGGGACCGGCTGATGGGGGCCAACCGTGCTGTCTGATGTCTGCTGACGTGTGTCGGCGGGCAAGGTTGGGCCCTGGGGGAGACGTGACTGATGACAGAGGATGGAGGTTGGATTGGTGCGGGATCTGAGGTTTGCTATAGATCGGAGTTGGGTTTCCGCCGAGAGAGCCTTGACGGTGCGGTGAGATGGTGATATGGGGTGGTAAGGGATGGCGGATTCCAGACGGCCGTCTCCCGTCATCCTGGCATACCTGGCGCGGGGAGAGTGGGGGAGGGCCAGGGTCCATGGACATGGAGAAGTAGGGTTGTCGACCTGCCAGCATGGCTTCCTGGGGGTTCTCTAGAGTCCGGATATACTCCAGCTGCCGGGTTATTTCACGTTGCATGTTTGCAGCTAGTATCGAACATTAGTTATACTTCTAGACATTGCTGGTATCTGGGATGCAGAACTCACCTTCTTTGTGTATAGAATTTTCGGTATCCGGAACCATGGTGACTATAAAGGAGGACATCGTGCTTGTCCACTATCGGTTTGAAAGTTAGTGGATAGGTCGAAAAAAAATGAAGGGTTAGCGGGTGTAGTCCTCTCACCTGATGACATCTGGCCAGACCCTCGGCGAGGACATGGCAATGTGAGCTTAGAAGCGCGTTGTGATCCTCCATCCGCGCCAGGCGGTTATGCATGTCATACAAGGATTGTTCCAGACTGGCCATTCTAGGGTCCAAACCGTCCATGGCTCCCTCCGCGGGAGTACCCGGCTGTGACTGATTGGCCTTGTGAGTTGAGAAAGAGTCTCGGTGGATCAGCGCATGTCTTGAAGCTCTCCGCTTGATGTCTCGGAGACCAGCGACATCACCCTTTCGAAAGCTGCCATTTCCGTGTCTGAATTCCCACATTGGCGAGTCTGGAGACCCTGTGTGAAATACATCGCTCACTTTGTGGAAGCCATACATGTTTAGCTGTCTGACAAATGACGATATATTGGTATGCTTGAAATATTGCCTATACATCTTATTAGTTTGAAACAGTCCACCAACTATAATCGCTAGAATGGATGGTATAACGTACGATAAGACCTTTGAAAAGTCCGACGAAGGAGACATGACGAAGCTCTCGTTGGAGCTTGACCACGATATCAAATGTTGGATGTTTGGGTCCTGCAGCATACTGTAGAAAAAGCCGTTAGCAGGTCCGCGCATATCACCGCAAGTAGTTTCACATCATGGAAAAAAAAAGGGGAGGGGGCGGGAGGCTCAAACCTGTATAGTTTATGGATAAAAGCCGTCTGGACGACCTTTGGTTGCTGTCCTGCAGCTGCAGCACCGATTGGGTGGTTCGAGCTGGTAGATTGCGACTGTGCGGAGTCCATAGCTGTGCCGTTTGTGTGGTTCGCATTGGCATTCGCATTGGCATTATTGGCATTGGAATTGGAATTGGCGTTGGAATTGGCATTGGGGTTGGCAGCATCTGCATCAGCACCGTTCTGGAGCGGCGGAGCCATCGAGGTCGAGGTCGAGGTCGAGGCAGACGGGCTCATGTCCATGGGGTCACTGGGACTGACAGAGTCGCCTGCGGGGCCCGAGGGGGAGAGCAGTGGTATAGTCCTTGATTTCGCGGTGAGGTCGCTGACGGGAGGCGCATGAAATGGATTTCGCAGGGGGGGATCGAGCATGCGGTTCATGGTCAGAGAAGAAGTTGAGAGCGCCAGAGTGACGGTCGTAGAAGGGGTAGTAGGTATAGGGAGTAGGAGTAGTATAGGTAGTAGTAGTGTGGAGAACTAAAAACCGGCCGGTATCGCAAGACGCTCTCTCTCTCGCAGGACAGTTTGAAGAGACGGATAACGGCCGTGCCTTGACCGTTATACGTCCAAACCCGTAAGCGAGAGACGGCGAGGGCGAGGGCGAGGGCGAGGGCCGGAGCAGGGCAAACGGAGAACGGGCGGGCGAGCGAGTGAGCGCAGCTGCAGCGGCCGCGGCTAAGGGAAGAGCGAGCAGGCTCGAGTCCGGGGAAGCTTGCGCAGAGCGATGTGCAGGGAGACGATAACTATGTTGACTCGAGGGAGTATACGAAAGGCGACCTCCCCCCCGGCCGAGTCCTTGACTTAAGGGCAGGGGTTAAGGGCTGTCGCAGGCCGGCTTTGGGTGGGGGACGGCGATGGGCACGCTGGAGCTGGTGGAGCCGTAGAGGGGAAGCAGTCGACGGCTATCGCAGAGCAGCAGCCAGGAGCGTCGCATTCGCGGGTGTCCGGCGGTTGTAGGTTGTGCTGTGGCCTGTGGCTGGCCGTTGGCAGACGTTGTGGTAGCTGTACAGCAGTTGGTGGAGATTCTGGTGGTTGGAGATGCGGACTGGCGGCGGCGACGGGAGGTTTGCGCAGGAGAAGCTGCAGCGAGCCTTGCAGCAGGGCCCGCGACGACCGCAGACGGCGACGACGGGCGAGAACGAGACAGGACGGATCAAAGGGACGCCTTTCGCAGGGCTCGCAGGACTCGCAGGACTCGAGGAGCGCTGTTTCAACGGGGGTCGACGGGCTGCTGGTGCTGTTTGGGGCGGCCGCCAGTGTCAGTGGAAGAGGTCAAGGCAGCCCTAGCGACGGAGAGAGGTAGAAGAGACGACGAAGAGAAGAAGAAGAAGAAGAAGAGAAGAAGAAAAGAAAAGAAAACGACAGATATAAGATGGTGAAAAGGAGAGCGAGGAGGCGAAGGGGGCGGCCAGTTCTTCAGGAGAGGCCCTTGGGGGCGAGCAAGAGGACTAACTACGCCGGCTGAGACGAGACTCTTCGGGCTGGCTGGCTGGCTGGCTGGCTGTGTATTATTCTTGTGTCTTTTCTTCTACAGGGACAGCATCAACACCTAAGCATACTTACCGCTGGCATGGCACTGCTCGATGGTACTGTTTAGACCCCGATTGTCCCTCGGACAGGCAGACGAGGAGGACTGGACAGGGACTGGGATACGGGGGTGAGCAGAGGCAGGCAGACAGGCAGACAGAGATATCCAGGGATCAAGGGGGGGGCCGCCGCGAGCTGTGCAGAAGAACTATTTATAACAGGAAGAGCAGCAGCAGCAGCAGCAGAAGATGAAACAGTCGAGAAGCTGTCGAGAAGCGGTTCGAGACGATGAGACGAGACAAGACAAGACGAGACGAGACGCAGGAGGGAAGGGAAAAGGTACTTCTCGCCGGTGCCTCTACCTACTGTAGTTATACACGGGGGATTAATATTGGTTGGTAACATAATATAACTCTCGACCAGCTGGATGCCGCACATTAATCATTGATCATTATTAGTTAGTTAGTTATATTGCCTGCCTGCACTCTTCAGCCTCAAAAAAAGCAGGATCTTCTGGGCCTCATCGTCACGTCGTTTCCCCTAGTCTCTGCTACTATTCCTTTTCTCTGGCGCCCGTTTCTCCCCCATCCCTGTTGGTGCTTAGACGGGGCCTGCAGCCAGCAGCTAGCTATTGTTAATTATTTAGTTCTTCACACTTGCACTTCGAGTTGGAGCCCAAAGGCCCCATCGGTCGATGGGTTTATTATGGGCTCATCGGAGGTGCATTGATTCCACACTCGAAAGGACGATGAGAGCTCCAGTCGACACATGCAAGCGCATTCGAGGGGACAGCCGTGTATGTACTCCGTACTCTGTATGTACTGTACGTCCTTGTGTTCGTCTTCCCACCTGGGGGCCGTGTGCTGGCCTGGCCTTGTTCCTGCAGGCCCAACTTCCTCAGAGCCCACCGCCTGCAGGAATTCCTTTTTTTTTCTTTTCCCTCTTGTTGCTGCTGTTTCTGTTTCTGTTTCCGTTTATCTTCCTTCGCCTCCTTTGGTTTTGGTTTGCTTTCTCTCCTCAGCTTTCTCAACTAACCCTATACTGTCTCGACGTTGAGCAGACAGGGGGGGGGGGGGGGTTTTCAGATCAGGCTGTAACTCGCCCCCATCAGCCAGATCTCTTGAACACCCCCCTCCCCCCCCCTCCCCTTTATTGCCATCCGCTATTGCACGGCTGAGAGAGGGAGAGAGAGAGCGGAAGAGAGCTGTGTCTAGTAATCAGCTTTTGTTTAACATGCATGGAAACAGCGTAGATTGGTTCCGCAGAACTTCTCGAACTGGAAGTAAATTTGGAAGTTTCGAAAAACCTACCCTGACAGACGTGAATCTTGTCAGACCCAGTGGTGTGTAGCCCGCCCGCCTCCCCTCCCTTCGACCCATGGAAATCCAGAAAAAAAGAGAAGAGAGAGGGCGAGCACGAATTAGAACAAGAACAGCCGATCGTGGGGATGGCTTCCGACGCCGTGGGTACGATCCGGTGGGCGTTTCTTCTTCCTTTCCGGGCGGGTGAGCTGTCACCACCCCTTATGGGATAGGTCACCTTTTCCTGTCCCTTCAACCACCGAAGATGGCTTGCAATAGGCGGACGCCCTCCTTTTGCCCTTTTGCCGTTTTCCTTTTTCCTTTTCCTTTTCCCTTCCCCTTCCGTTGGCTTTTTTTTTTATTTTTTTTTTTTTTTCTTTCAAATTTTCACAAGTCAAAACTCCCTCCCTTTTTCTTTCTCTTGGGAGCTTTGACGGTTGCACAAATACCAAGCCCACGGCCAGTAGGAACTGCTCCCATCCGAAGTTGATATCACCAAAATCGTCTTGGTGTTCCCGTGTGATGCTTGCTCTGGAAGCAAAAAGGATTTCAGATACTCAATTGGCGACCAGCCTTCTTTCTCAGCTGCTGTGTAGACAGGTCTCCTCCCCTCCCCCTTCCCCCCTCTTCAGTCATAATCGCCATTCTTATCTTTGTTGAACTTGACCCGGGATCCGTGGTCCTGGGATATGGGCCACCAGGTCGTACGCTCCAGCTGCGCAAAACTGCCAACACTAAAGTAATTCCATGCATATGTATATACTTATTATTATCGTGCCAATCCATAACTGGAGCTCGACTATAAAATAGTCCGAAATAGTGTGAGATGGCGCAGGAGATCGAATTCCTTGTTCTCTTCAAAGCTGACAAGGGACCCCGTTTGTTCCCTTTTTGCGACTGCAACCCTCCGAAGATCACCTGCTTGCTCGACTATGCATGTATACCCGGACAACGCTGCGTAAGAATATGCATGCACAGAGATAATGTCACGACCGACCAGGCCTGTCCTTGACCCTTGACAAAAGACAAAAAGCTCAAAGCCCGCGCTGGACGATTTCACAGGGATCATCCGATCTTGACACATCTTGGCTGGAGTTCGTTCGTTCATTAGCTCGTTTGCAGCCCTGAGATGCTTTTCGCCCAGACTACTTACAAACTTGCAGAGGAACATGCTTGTTCACACAAGGCGGCTTTCTCTCTTCTCTGGAGAATAATAGTAATTATTTTTCTTTCCCTTTCACGTTTCCACAAAATTGATCCCTGTCCCTTAAGTCAGGTGGATTAATTTGCTTGGGCCCGCGCTGGAGAAGTTACTCTTCTCCGTGTAAGGATGATGTCGACATCATATTATTATTTTATCTCAACTCTGTCAAGTCTCTGTACATCTTGACACCACGAATCACCACACAGGCCAGCAAGACAATGGCTGGACAGAACCGAACTAATACGAGCGGGGTCCCCTGTGAATGTAACTTGTCACCGTCCATCCCAGTTTGCTGTAACTGAAGCTCTTTAGCTTTTTTTTTCCCTTCCCTCTACTCCCCCTTTTTCCTTTGCTTCCCCATGTAAACGCCAGTTCGGCTCAGGCTTGCTCGAAGCTGCTCCCTGCATAATAATAATTGATTTATGAAAGTCGCACGACCAAAAGTACGGAGTGCCATCGTACAGGTCCTGTTAAGATAGAGTAGTGGCGGTGGGTGGCACTCCCGTCGTAAGCGTTGCCTTACTTTAGATGCCGAAACAATCGCCATAGCTAGCTGGCCGGCGAACGAGCTCAAGTCATCATCGGTTTATACGGGGAACATCCTTCATCATCTGTCTCGGAACGGTGCTCAGACATTCTTCCTGCTTACTCCGTATGCCTGAGGAAGATCTTGCCAGCTCACATATGCCTCGATCGAACCCGAAGTAAGCTCTCTCTCCCCCCCTCTCTCCTAACCCCCACGGCAGCTTGAGCTATCCCGCGCCGGCCGCTGTTGGGCCTGTCCAGATGTTTGCTGTTAAGTGTATATACTTGATACCAGTCTGGACTGGCGACGACGCCATCGAAGCCTTCCACAAAGCATTGACCACTACTTAGTTGGCTATCCGTCTCGTATCTCTTTGTGGCGCTCTGGCGATCCTGCAGGCATGAACAGCCATCTTCGAGACGAAGGCTCAACGCCCCGTCAAGTCCGTTGTCTAGTGCCATCTTCTTCCTCTTCACTGCCCATCACTGCCAACATTCAGTCTCCCACAAACCTGTCTTCGTCTCTCGTCTCTCCCGCCATCGTCGTCGTCGATGTACTTAGGTCGTCACCTTGTCGCGGTCGTAGATATCCCGAACGGGCATGCCGATGTACCCTAGATAGTTAGCTTCTTAGGGCTCGAGCCCTTATCAATCAGCTAGAAATAAAAAAAAGTTTCGAGGCTGCAAAAGGCCTTCGCGGCGGCCTCCGCGGGCTGTCGCATGCTCCAGCAACAGCGACATTCAAGAGGGATTCAGGTTGCTTTGCTTGGTGACGGAGTTTTGCCCTGTCTGTTTGACCCGGTATACCGGCCAGTGCTAGCGGGTGGAATACCTATATTGCCTCAAGTCAGGTACGTGAATTAGTTAACTATTATTGAACTTGCTGCTGCGCCGCGATCATAGAGCTGTCGCAATAACCAGGGCGACCAGCGCCTCAACTCCGCTATTTTGCCCCTCCAAGGGAGTGCAATTTTTTTTTTTTTGTTCTTTCCTTGAGCGACTTGCTAATGCGTTACAGTTGTTTTTATATAGAAGGGACTCGCGCATAGTTGTACGGAGTATATACACAGGAGACCAGTCTGTCAATAGATCACTAGTCCAGGGATCAGCCAGCCACCATGGTCGAGAAAGTCTACGTCACATACAACCAGGTACGGAATGAGAGAGCCTCTGCTCGGAGTACCTTTTGTCTTCCTCTTCCCAGATACATGAGAGACGAAAAGCGAGCCAGCTTTTAATCTCTTCCTTACTCCCCGTTGTCATACCCTCGCCTAGGAGCCAGCATACACGATACAAGCATACAACCCGAGACAAGGCTTAGTATGTGTCTGACAATATATAGGTGCATAAACTGTGCCAGGCCTCTGCAGGCCGCATCCTCGAGGAATTCCGCCCGAACCTCATGATTGCCATCGGCGGAGGAGGATATGTCCCCGCAAGAATGCTAAGGTACGGAAGCAATATCAGTTTGGCTGAGACCCATGGAACGCATCTTTTTTTTTTTTCTTTTCCCATTTCGGTGTCTAACTGGGGGGTGTGCTATATAGATCGTTCCTCAAAAAGAAGGATTCCCCAAATATTCCTATCCAGGCTATTGGACTTTCGCTGTACGAAGATCTAGGTAGAGGAGACCCCGAGGAGGTCCCCGGCACCAAAGTCACACGCACTCAATGGCTGGATCTCAGCTCGCTGGAGATGGCCAATCTGATCGGAAAGAATGTTCTTATCGTTGACGAAGTTGACGATACCCGCACCACCCTCGAGTATGCCGTTCGTGAACTCGAGAAGGACGTTGAGCTTGCGCAGAAGCAGCTTGGCCGACAAGGAGAGAAGACTACATTCTCCATCTTTGTCCTACATGTAAGCATCCATTTCTGCGTCATCCTTCGTAAAAAGATGGGAGAACTAAACAGGACTAACTCAACCCCCCTCGCTGTGTAGAACAAGGATAAGCCAAAGAAGGGCCAGCTCCCACCAGAAATGCTCGCCGAGAACCGATATCTTGCTGCCGTAACTAGCGGAGATGTTTGGATCTGCTACCCATGGGAAGCCACGTTAGTTCCCCCCCTCTCCTATTCATATGTCTATGCGTCTATGTTTTGTGCCGGGATACTGACCCTTGCCTCTAAGTGATATCGACGAGCATGACCGACTAGCCAAAGAGAACCCTCTCATAGCTACATAGGAGGCTACCCAGAAGAAACCATCTAGATTTTGTTTTTATCATACGTTACATGGTTGTCACTTCTCTCTCATTGTCTCTATTTGTTCATACGGTTTCGAATCCTGGCCTTTCCTACGAATCGAGCATTTTCTTTCGTCTTATGTGAACGATAGATACAGATACGCCTTCATGACATTGCTGAAAGGGCGGTCAGAATATACCCTATCTATTTCACTAAGAATAATGTAATTCAGCTAACGCAGTAATAAGGACCTCGGCCCTCCCCTTTAAGACTTATCTATCGGCCTAAGAAAAAAAAAAAGAGAGTCATGTAAATTATAATTATAGTATATGTCTACCCACCTAAGCGCCGCTAATTAACAGTTCTCATGAAAAAAAAAAGATCCCATGTCCGCAAAAATTAAGGAAGCAACCCATATAAATACAAATTTATATAAGACGCAGATAGTTCCCCCTCATGTCTTTCCTCCATGACCGTCATGAGTCCACCCACTTCATTCCAATCATTTCACTGATATTGTATCTGCTACCAAAGTTTAATCTATATCAACGTTCATTGCCCTTAGTTCGGTGGTTGCTTGATTTATTTCTGCTTGTAGGGATTTATATGCGTCGGGAACGTCGTTGAATGTGAATACTCCCCAGCCAAGCCTGAAGAGAAGATAGGAGCCTAAGACCATAAGGAAGTATGTCGGGAGCTTTGTAGAGAGGTTGGAATAAATTAGCCAATGCATTCCTCCGCGGTTCAATTGGTTGGTCTGTTTTCAGGGGGAAACGTACATGTGGGATGATTTCCTCTTGGATGGTTTGGTTCAGAGGTAGCAGTCCGAGATAGAGGGCCAGGTAGAGCTAATAATTTGAATAAGGGTTAACGTAAGGACCTTTTTTTTTATTCTTGAATGCCTATAATAGAGTCAAAATTGATATGATGCCCAACTTACGGACGTGACAAGCAGAGCAACAGAAAGAGTTTGCTGTGCGCGTGTCATGACTGCGGCTGTAAGGAACGACGGTCTGGGGTGCTAGAGAGGGTATGTAGCAGCTTTATCCCAGGTATTTAGCCAGAAGTGACGACTGGATGAAGCTCTGCTCTATAGTACCAAAGAAAGGTGGCATGCAATTCTCCCCTTGCAATGCTCTTTTCCGCCGTGCAACAGGGGTGCCGCAGATATATCACGTGATACGTTTCCACGTCACATGTTTCGACTGTATGGAGCTGCGGACTACATGGAGTAAAGAGAGAGAAGTTAAATAATTTTGGGATTGAAAAGTAATCTATATATCTTTTGAGGTTAGATACTTGACGTAGTCATAGAGATTGAGTCCAAACGGCAGCTATTGGAACATTGATTTCTGGTCCGAAATGATTATCCGGGCAAACACACGTCTGGTTATGGGTTTAATTCTAGTCCCTTGAGACATAGACATACACCTTGGGAATGAAAGACTTCGATGTCTAGGGTTTCATTATAGCTTTCAAAATGTCGAGACTGGCACCCTCGACACAGGCAGCTTGTGGGATTGTACTTGATCGTTCGAAGTAGATATTGCAACGGCCCCGTAGTACGGAGTACTGGGTATGGCTATCAGGCGCATAACAATGCTGCATGTTATGCCATCCACCTCTTGAAGAGCCAGCTGCCCCCATGTCATATTTGTTTCGCAGCCTGTCATTGTGTGCCCCACTCTGGTATATGTATGTAGCGAAATATCCATAGCAATGTAGGCTTGTTTCCCTCGACTCTGGGCCAAGCAAAATGCCTTCGTGGTGTAGCGGCTATCACGCCAGTCTCATATTCAAATATGACTCAGGAGCACAACTCGCTGGGATATCTGGAAATGCCAGTTCGATTCTGGCCGAGGGCAATCCACGTCAACTCTCGCGCCGGTAATCTCGGCGTTCATTTTTTTGGATCCTCCAAACGACATCACCATATTCTTGTTCATATGCTGAAGTGGTATTTGCCATCTGTAGGTGGCATATGTCATCTGTCCCCTCCACGGCTGCCTTCAGCCCTCAATCGCTGCTGTGGTCGTTTGGATGTCGTCTCAGGCAGCAGCCGAGAAAAGCCCTAGAAACGACCAGCATCCCGCGTTACATAAGCAGCCACCACCCCTGACGGCGGCTGAGCTCGCTGAGCTCGAGCCTTGAATATCTAGAAAGTCGCAACATCTCGCATTCTCGCCAGGCACCAACGAGCTCAACTGGTGAGCAGGCGCTTAAGAGTTGGATCCTTTTTGGTCACCTGCTCGACTTCTGCCTGATGCTTGTCCGTTTGCCTAATGCCACCCTGGCCACTGTTCGCCAATAGATACACTTGGAATAGAGGAGCTCATATAGAAGAACCCCACTGGAAGGCACCCGTCTGCCAGTGCTTTCATTTAACCAACTCGCGATTTTGGAACCCTGGATTAAATAGCTATTCTTAGCCGCTTGCGAGGACTTTCCCTGTATCCACATGACTGAGAAGCTGTCATCTTAGAGCATTGAAGCCTTGAGTCATCCTGGGAGGCGGCTAGAGTCCCTTGTCAAACTCCGGCCCGTCGTCGTTGCGGATTGGTCATCCCTTAAGCGGCCCATCTTAGGTCGCTGTTCTTGATATAACTAGGCATCCACGCCAGGAAGTTGAGCCCTCATGGATGAGAACATGGAGAACACCGCTGGGCCACCGGTCAACCCGGCGCAGGAAGCAGGGTCAGATTTAGATAAATACCCTTCCAAGTCTGCGCAGAAGATGGATGACCAAACTCCAAAATCACCTGTTGCAGCACCTACTAAGGATCTACCCAAGTTGTCTCAAGAAGTAGAAGAGAATATGATCCGCTCGCTGCGCACGAAGTTCAAAGGAGGAGATGCCGGAGAACTACACAACCTCCTAAGCTCTCTAGAACTAGCAGACAAGGAGCGGAGGAGTGGCAGCCCAAGCCTTGATGGCCTCGAGGCAGTGCTATCTCAAATCGATATGTTGTGGAGGAGTAACTCTACTTACATGGCAGAGGTTGCAGAAATGTTAGCAGATGCAAGCCGGGACGGTAAGTTTCCTTGTTAATATATGAGACCGTTTATATATATACTGACGATGTCTAGCAAAATGGAGGCCCTACTTCGGCCAAAGTGGAATTTTGGACTACTTCCTTCGAATCATATCCACTGAAGAGGTCGAAGAGAATACCCTGTTACATTCACTAAGATTTATTGGTAACTAGCTCACCCGTGTGATATGCGGGCATTCGTTGGGTGAGAGCCGTCCATTTGTCTAGCAAGGTATTATAAATAGTGTGACCGGGTAGTATATTCAATGCCCCGGGCGCTATTCTTATGCGTTCTATTGTACGGAGTAACTAACTCCCAATCATCGCGTTCGATATATATAGTTGTTGTTGGTTCGGCGCGTGGAACTTTCAGCAGCTCCCCGGCTGCTGAATAAGCCGGCCCGTCGCATCGCATGCTAGGTACCTCAGTTAACAGCCTTGGCATTTGGTGACAAAGCACAATGTGGGTCTAACCCGTTCCAGCGCTAAACCTTCTTTGTTCGACATCCGCATCAACTCAACCCCAGACCACAAGCGCCAGACTGACACAGAGAGGCCTCAACCAGCAAGCTGAACAAGTTGATTTTATCCCCCCCCTCTTAACTGTCTTCTACTATACGAGTATACACTCTCCGTTCGTTATAGTTATGCAAGAAAAGTTGTCCTTGACGAGGGAGTACTGGGGTGTAAAACCCCCAGCCGGTGTGTATCTTCCAACAGCAGCTGAAATCTTGAAGATGTGCACTGCGGATGATAAACACCCGGCTGCACTCGCATTTCCCTCAGAAGCGCCGGTATTCTGGATTAAATATGGCTTTGCAGTGGAGTGGAACGAGGTCCTGGCCCAGGCCATGGCACATCGTGAACTCCTGAAACTACGCTCCCATGCTCGGGTACCAGCAATCTTTTATGCGTTTGAGGCGGGTAGAAAGGTATACATTGTCATGGAATATATCCCAGGACGGTCCGGGAGCCAGATCCTAGAAAGCGCCTCAGAACCCGCAGAAAGGGAGGCAGTCCACCGGCAGGTAGCTTTCATGGTCCAAGAACTTCTACGAATACCAATTTCACCCAATGCTCGTCCTGCTGCCATCGATGGAGGAAAATTTACACATCTCATCTTTCGTGATTACAGAGCTAGTCGACATTATCACAATGTAGATCAGCTCGAGCAACATTTCAATCTGGTACGCAGTATAATCTACGTTGAACGGAAAATCGGCTAAAATAAAATATACAGTTCATGAAAATGGCGAAACGCGAACCGAAAATCCAAGGACTATCCCGCGAGCCTCTGGTATTTAGCCACCCCGATATCTGGCCTGGCAACATAATTATTGGTGATGACGGCCGTACCACTATCATCGACTTTGCAGGGTCAAGCATCCTCCCTTCTAGCTTTGTCAAATATTCGCTCTCTTCATCAAAGAAAGATCGCGAGTACAATCTGATGACTTGGGTTGACTTGCCTTGCCCTGATGGGATTGATAACGTCAAGGCGTTATGGGCCATTTCAGACCCAATGATCATGGGTACAGCCTCCTTTGCGAGGGCGGGCTGGCGAGTGCCTGGGTATGGAGATCCAGTACCTGAACAAGTAGCTTCGTAGACACTGCAATTTCTTTCACCTTTTTTCCCCTTCCCTTATTCTTAGTCTCTATTTCGATCGATATATTACAAGCTCACGCTGCGCTCATGGCTCTTGCGAATGGTTCGAACTAGAGTTTTGAGGGAGGTGATGGAAATCTTGCTATTCGTTCCCTACGCAATACTTATAATGAAAGAAATACCCAACAAACCTTTCTGTTATGCTCGGAGGAAATGCGGATTAAACAGCCCGCTACTATGCAGAATTTACTATCTCGCTGGCCTGTTTCCTCTTATCGGGCACTCGCTGCCTTATTTTCTACTCACTATTGTCCCAGGCATGAACGAGGTTGCATGTCTGCTTGATCAGGGTTTCAAAAGGCTCATCACGGGCCTCGATCCACTTGCGACATATGTATCAAACTCCGCACCAAACACGAGGCACCTTTCCGGGTACCTTGGGCTTAGTGTCAGAAAAAAACAATGTTGTTGAGTGATTTCGCTAGGCCGCGGGAACGATGTCGTGCTGAAACAGTGAATCAACTTGTGACCGGGAACATCGGTTCGTGATATCCCTCCAAGGCTCCATTCCCCTTATTGCTCGAACTATGCGAAACAGCATAGATCAGAGCAAACTACACGTGAGTACAGGTTATCTTCCTCGTGAGAAATGATCTACGTCAAACAGGACGGACGGGGAATGCTTTTCTGCACTCCACACTGCCAGCGAAAGCAGCCAGCAAAACAAAGGAAGCAAGATCTCGAAGGGGATAGGCTGTCATATATGTCTAAATGACTGGGTCATCGACTACTTTCTCTTCTCCAGGAAAGGCGGATAATTTAAGAGGTAACTGGGTTTCACAAACGTTTAATTCTTCCGCCAGCCACATTCCATCATGTGCACAACCTTCAGCCAGTGCCGCGAGTTACACGAATTTCGAACCGGACCGAGCGAGGGCACCTGGAATGGCTCCGCTGATCAAAATGTGAAGATACTTCCTTATCTATACCCCGTGCCGGTAGTATCTTAGATCTATGACCGTCAAATTTAATGCCTTCCTCCACAATTTGGTTATGAACTACGAGTCAAAATGATTCTTTATATATTGGATAGCCTGGACGCTTCTACACGTCTGTTGAACCGCTTTTTCCGCGACAAACTCTTGTTTTCCCATAAATTATTTATACCTACCAGATGAAGATCCAATCACAGTGGTGAGCCAACAACAACTACCTCCCAACATGTACAAGGAGGAAGAATGCCGGCCGCTTCTTACCCCTGAGCCCAGCTCAGAATACCAGCCAGCGCCACGCACCAAGAAGGAGCTTCGCAATATTGAGAATGTAACAGTTCCCGAAACGGCGACATATGGCAGGAACATAACGTGCGGGGGCGCATATATCCTCGTTATGTCCCAGATGATTGGCTGTTCAATATTTGCGACTCCCGGCAGCGTTGTTCGGTCGTGTGGGAGTGTTGGCCTCACTCTCCTGCTATGGCTTGTTAGTGCGACTGTCAGAGCTTGCGATCTTGGAATTTATACAGAATATGGCTGCATGTTACCACGTTCTGGTGCGGACAAGGTCTATCTAGAATTCACCTATCGTCGGCCGAGATTCCTTGCCTCAACCCTATTTGCAATTGCATCCGTTACCCTAGGTGTGTCAGCAACCAATTGCGTTGTCTTCGGCCAATATATGCTCTTTGCCTTGGGTATGGAACCAACAGTTGCAGCCCAAAGAGGGTTTGCGGTCGGCCTCTTAATCGCTGTATGCATAATCCATGGTTACTTCTACAAGCTCGGTATCCGGATTCAAAACTTTCTTGGATGGGTGATTTTGTCTATAGTTGGGTTCATGATATTCACGGGACTCTATGTTGTGCTTTTCCAGAAACGCCAAACCATCGCTGGGAAGCCTGAGCTATTCTCCTGGGATGGAATGTGGCAAGGCTCTAATTGGGACTTTGGCGTCCTTGCAACCTCTCTCTTACAGGTTTCTAGCTCGTTTTCTGGATTGTGTACGACGAATGTCGTTCTTAACGAGGTCCAAAACCCAATCAGAACAGTCAAAGTCGTGGGGTTGATGGCGTTCGTGACTGTCTGCATCTTATATGCCCTCATTAATGTCTCCTACTTCATGGTTGTCCCGATCGAGGAGATCAAGAGCAGTGGACAGTTGGTTGCAGCATTATTTTTTGAGCGTGTGTTTGGCCCGGGGTTTGGTAAAACGGTTCTCCCTCTCCTTGTTGCCATATCGGCTGCTGGCAAGGTTATGGTCACTATCTTCTCATCCGTAAGTTATCTTCCGTATTAACTGTCTTCGCGTTTGATACCTTGCTGATTACTATGTTTAGGCCAGGGTAAACCAAGAAATAGCCAGACAAGGCTTCCTCCCTTTTTCTCGCTACCTTTCATCGTCAGAGCCGTTCAATACACCACTCGGAGGCGTAGTGGTTCACATGATCCCTACTTTGCTTACTATACTACTCCCACCACCAGGAGACATCTATAACTTCATCCTTGATGTTCAGGGATACCCGGGCGAGTTCTTTGGAATTGCCATAACATTTGGCATTATTCTACTTAGATGGAGATGGAGACGGCCGGAACTCCAGAGGCCGTTCAGAACCTGGGTACCCAGTGTATGGCTGCGATTGGTGGTCGGCTTTTTACTGATTATTGCCCCATTCTTCCCTCCAAAGAACGGAAGGGGAGACGTTCATTTCTTCTACGCCACATATGCCATTGTTGGCGTAGGCATGTAAGTCTTCCGGTCTTGTCTCCTTATTCTATTCAATCAAAGTAACCATACTAACAATGTTGACCAGAATTATACTGTCAATTGTCTACTGGTGGTTCTGGACGATTGTTATTCCAAATAGAAATGGTTACAGACTCGAGGAGGAAATTGAAATCCTTCCAGATGGAACAAGTATTACGCGGCTGGTCCATGTCGGTAAACGGGAGTTACAGTCATAAATTAGGGGTTCAAGGGTTCTATCAATATCTCTCGAGACTACGACGTTATGTGGTATCAATTCTTTCGGTCTGAATAAGTATGAAAGTATGAAACAATGAACATCATAAAATCTTTGCTAGAAAATAGTTATATGCTCGGTCAATAGATATATGGTCTACCACCAATTAATCAAGCCTCTCCCTGTATGGTCTGTATAGGGATGTAAGCTTATTCGACTTGTATAAAGCAACCACAGGGAGCAGGATGTATTATTAATAGCTCGAGTTAGATCTACATTTCATGTATGTAAGAACACAGACTGCCAAATTCTCTTATCCCTGAAGCCCCTTGATGTGTTGCTGCTCTCAAAGGGCGGAAGTGGCCTTGCCCACCAAAACCTCCCACATATAAATAGTTAGTGATTTGCTTAGTGTCTTTCTCTCACTTCTTCTTTTGCTCAACTACTTCTTCTTTTCTCTAGATAACCACACACAACCTTGAACAAAACACCTCCTTACGCGCAAGAAAACAGCGTTTAGACCTTCAAGATGGGCAAAACTATCATCCTCACGGGTGCTTCTCGCGGTAAGACAGTCACCGCCATGTGAAGACGCGTGAGATCAGCCAGCCACTAACAAAGCTGTCCCGCACTGCAGGCATCGGCTTAGCTATCGCTAAGTATCTCTTGCAGGCGCCACATCGCTGCAATGTGGTTGTTGTTGCCCGAACTGAGGCCCCCTTGCTGGAGCTTAAGGAGCAGTATGGCACTCAGGTGCAGGTTGTCTGTGGTGATATCACCGACCCCCAGGTTGCCCATAAGGCCCTTGCCCAGGCTCTCTTGTCCTACAGCAAACTCGACGGCCTTGTTATCAATCACGGAGTTCTTCCCCCCGTCACCCGCCTCGACCAGTTCTGCCACCGAGAGTGGGTGAAGGCGTACGATATTAACTTCTTCAGCGCCGTGGAGCTTGTATGTTTGGTTCTACAGTTTCTATTTTCTATCCTAACTAGTTGCTATCTTTGCTAACCAATCATTTAACAGGTCAAGCAATGCATCCCGCATCTTCGCCTGGTTCGTGGCAGAGTCGTCTTCACTTCTTCTGGTGCTGCAACCGGACCCGTCAACGGCTGGGGCATGTACGGCTCCTCCAAGGCGGCGTTGAACCATCTCAACATGACTCTGGCCCACGAGGAGCCTGAAATCGTCTCTATTTCCATCCGCCCAGGCATGGTTGACACCGACATGCAGCACCACCTCCGCTGTCAGCATCTCGGCATTCTCGGTCCCAAGGACAGCACTAAATTCGTCAAGGCCCATGAAGAGGGAAAGCTGCTGAAGCCAGAGCAGCCTGGCACCGTCATTGCCAAGCTCGTCATGAATGCAACTCATGATCTCAGCGGCAAATTCATCACGTTCGTCTTCCTTCCTACCGTAATAACGATCCGTGATTGCGTCTTATTTTACTAACCAAGTCTATGCTACAGCTGGAACGACCCAATCCTGGCCAAGTACCAGGCATGAAACTCTACACAAATTAACCTGCGGTCAGACCTGAGACTGAATATCAGCTTAAGTACTTGAAGTATGGAAAGACGGTTGGCAAGGACATGTCATAGGAAAGTAGAAATAGCTCAGGCGAAAGGTTAATAATGATACATGTTGTAATCATTAGATGCAAAGCACCTTAATATTTAGCATGGAGTGAATTTTTTTCTTCATTGCTATTGTGTGCGGCAGGCTTGGAAATAAGAGGGCTCAAGCAGAATACAACATACCATATTGAACTAGTTTAGCTTAATGAGGGCTCAACATAACAAAAGAGAAGATTTCTACGGAGTACAGATCAACGCCTCTCGAGTGTGCGTCACTTCCATATCCATCGAGGTTCTCGAGTAATACGGTTTCATTCTTGGGACTTGTCAAGAGCCATCTGAATACAGCCGGTAATCTAGTAGCTTTGAGCCAAGTTAGCCATGGAGTCCCTTCAACGATCGGTCAAGGGCTAGTAGGCGGAAGTTGTTTATTTTGGTTCAGGAGTCCGTTTGGCTAGGACAGGTAAATCACCACGGAATTGTATGATAGGGGCGACAACAAAGTTCATCATTTGGATGGAGTGAATATCAAAGCAGAAGCAGGAGAAATACGTACCATTAGCATTGTTAGCAGTGAAGAATCTGCGGTTATTCTCGTGCATGAAGAATGAGGAAGAAGAGAAGAAAAATTGAAGTTTTTATTTTTGTTTTATATCGCGAATTTTTCCAATTTTTTCCATTTTTTAGTGAAAAGGAAAAAAGAAACTCCGGGTGCGCTGAGTCAGCTTCCGAGAGAGCCTCGAAGTTAAAAAGAGCTTCAAAGGTTGGAGTCGAAGACGAAGGAAAAGAAGGAAAAGGACAAGAACAGAAGAGCGAAGATAATATTATATTGGAATAGCTGCCATTTCAAGCGCATATACTCGATTTTGCTGGTATTTTACTGCCTGTTGATCCTTTGCTACCCAGCACCATGTCCGATAGGGAATTCGGAGGTAAGCAGCATGCGCGCGGAGCTCGACTGTGGGAAGGATGCGAACTGACTTGCGCCTGGCAGGAAACGATGACCTCTCCCTACCAAAAGGTACCCGTGAAGCTGTTCTCCCGCTCTTCTAGTGTTGACGTGCTGCCTATACGGCTGAGAGAAACTGAAGCACCGGCGGCTTTTCAAAAGGCCTACCTAATCTGCAACGGATATGGACAATACTAACCCCACTCTCCCATTAGCTACGGTGCAGAAGATTATAACGGAGATCCTGCCGCCCTCCTCTGGCCAGACCTTTGCGAAGGATGCCCGGGACCTGCTCATCGAATGCTGCGTCGAGTTTATCACACTGATATCATCCGAGGCCAACGAGATCAGCGAGAAGGAGGCAAAAAAGACAATCGCCTGTGAACACATCGAAAAGGCACTCACAGACCTTGGTTTTGGAGACTATGTCCCTGATGTGCTTGCGATTGCCGAAGAGCATAAAGAGCAACTTAAGGTACGACTTAACGGTTCCAGATTACCGTAGAACCTATTACTTCTTCTTGCCTGATATACATGCCCCATGTTATAAAAGAGTGAGAGAGAGACTGACTGATTTTGGCAGACTCGAGAGAAGCGGACAAATAAGATAGACCAGAGCGGCATGTCACACGAAGAGCTACTACGGCTCCAGCAAGAGCTCTTCCGCTCAGCTGGAGAAAAGTACAATTCGGGGAGCTAAGCGGTCTTTAATAGCACTTGTCTCCTTAGCGCATGTGTTCAATGATGCTTACGATATGCGATGAGTCTCTTCTGGAGTTTAACGGGATATCTTTTTTTGGGGGTTGGTTCTGTGTTGCCTGGCGTCAGTTTGACTCTTATTACTACTGTTACTACTACTACGACCTTTCCATCCTACGCATTCGTTATACTTCCACCCTACTGCAAATTATAATGATATATAGAGCATCAGCGGGAAAATTCTTTTCTTACATTATAAGATCCCGTCTCGCTACCAGCTCTAGTGATCTTTTGATTCCTTTAGCTTTCTCTTCCAACTTCTCGCGCGCGCTGTATATATCACGTGACATTTCTGCTGCTCCATAAAAATGCAAAAAGTGGAAGCTTCATAAAAAAACGAACTCAAGGGAAATCAGCGAAACAGCTACAGAACCGGGAACATCCCGACAAAGCGCTTCTACTTGGTTTACGTGCCCTCTCACTGCTCGGACCCGGTCGCATAACGCTCCTCCAAACATTGCTGCGCTCAGTATTGGGCTCTGCTCACTGCCGGGTGTGTGAACCGCCGGTGCGACGCGGCGGAGAAGCTGCCCACCATGCCGCAATTCAGCAGTGATAACATCCTGGTACGCCGTTTTCGAAGAGCAAAGCTTTATTTGTTATGCTGAGTACGGTCACTAACACGGCTAATTGATAGTTAATCTCGCCTGGGTCGCAAGTCACCCTCGCGCAGCTCGGACTGCCAGAGTCCTTTACCCCGGCTCGATTTCGTTTCCCGACGCGCATGTTCCCTGCCGAAAAAAAGGGAGAATGGGAGCCTCATAGAATACGCGCGCGGGTCGTCAAGGCCAGGAAAGTAGTATCACCAAAGCCAGCGGCGCCAGCGACGGAGCCTTCTGTTCCCGCGAGCGATGAGGGAGCGGCTGCCGCATCTGGTTCTACTGCGGAAGACAGCTCGAAGCAGGATGTCGAGATGAAGGATGCTGCCGATGACAAGGTGAAAGAGACTCCAGCTACCGATGAAAATGGCGAAAAGCCAGCAGAAGCCGTTGAAGAGACAGAAGAAATGACCGTGTATGAGGAAGACACAATGTCGGATGAGGGTGCGGTTTATGCATTACACAACGGAGCCGTGGTGGACTGGTCGTGTTTCTTCGCGCTCCTCACACATATATACAATACCCTGAGCCCGCCTTTCCACACGCCAATGATAATAATTGCACAGCCAGTCTGGACGGCCGCAGATCGAGAAAGGTTGACCCAGTTCGTGTTCGAGAAGTTCAAGACGCCAGCGTTTTGCCTGATGGACTCTGCATTGGCTGTCTGCTACGCATACAATACCCCTAATGCTACCGTTGTTGATGTGGGCCATGGCAAGGCAGATGTTACGGCTGTAACAGATTTCATAGTGAGCGAACACGGGCGAGGAATAGCCCTGGAAGGGTGCGGTGGTCAAGCATTGACTGATAGACTACTTGAACTGCTGGGACCCAAAGGATTCACCCGTGAAATGTGCGAAAAATTGAAGAGGAACCCCATTTGCGAAATCCTACCGCCTGGCACTCCGTTACCCAAAGACAATGGCTCTGACTCGGCGAATCAAGAGTCTATCAAACAGGCTCCTGCTCCAGGCATGGGTCCCGATATGCCTAGAGGCCTAGGAAATGGCGAGAAGGAAGATGACGACGGCGTGCTAGACGTTGCTAGCATTGTCAGCAGGGGTAATGCCAGTGAATTCATTGCCAAGCGAGAAAAGGAAAAGGCTGAAAAGGCAGCATCCCGAAAGGGCCAAGCTGCGGAGTCTGCTGCCGCTAGACAAGCCCGTTTACCAAATTCGAAAAAAGCAAGGGCCATTTTCCATTACGAAGGATTAGCAGAGCCACAGGCCGGAGGCAATGACCAAACACAGCCTACCAAACAAAAGAAGGAGATTGAAGTAGGGGTGGAGAGACTTATGGCTGCAACACCTCTTGAATCAGGTGCCGATGAGAGGTGTGGCTACAGTATCTTGGAGACACTTGCGGCTCAGATCCATCATACAATTCTCTCTGTTCCCGATGCCTCAACACGTAGCAGTTTGTGGGACTCTCTCATTATCCTCGGAAACGGCAGCAAAGTAAAAGGTTGGTCTCCTATCGTCAATTGGTTTATTAAACTGTTGTATTCTAACCTTTGTACCACAGGTTTCCCTCAAGCACTCCTTTCTACTATCACACAGAAATACGTGCTGTCTCCGTCCTCAGGGACCATATTTACCTCAGAGATACCTTCAACCTTCTCAACTCCTCTAGCAACGGGGGCAAACACACCAGCTCAGCCTCAAAACCCAGGTCCTTACCTTCACCCTGCTGCTCATGGTGTGAACCCGCTGCTTGTAGCTGCTACTCACTCAAATACTCCCGCAACGCCCAACAATCTAAACTCCAATGCCGCTCTCTCTGCTGACCCCAACATGCTTGCACACCATAAATCCACGGGCCATTCACAAACACCGACAGGAATCAAACTTCTCAAACCCCCAGAATATTTCCCCGAGTGGAAAGAACAAGGCTCATCAAGTGCGGCTGCTGCAGTCCCCGGCACAAACCCACCAGCAAGCACAGATGCTAGCAATGCGAATGCGGCAACCGGAGTGGCATCCGGTTCTAACAACGTTGGCATGGAAGAGGCAACATTCCTCGGAGCACAGGTAGCTGCCAAGGTGATTTTTATCGTGGACCAGGGGGCTAGCAAGGGTTATCTCAGTCGTGTCGAGTATAATGATGCTGGTCCAACGGCGATTCACAAATATTGTTTGTAAACTGTCCGTCCCCTTTTTATGCTTCCTTTTTGTCTCCACTGAGCTTGTATCGTAACGATTTGATCGGGATAGGAGTGATGGCAGCTACAACATTGGGTAGATTTGTCTTAATCTTGCATTCTTCTTTCATTTCCTCCATTATCTTTATGTCTTTATGTGGCATTGCCTCGTCCTCCATTTAATATCAGCTCCGAGTATGTAGATGTGCTAGTCCTAAAGGGGTTAGCGTCTTTTCTTATCGCCCACAACTTTGATAAACTCTAAAAGTTACATTTTTTTTTTTTTTATTATTATTTTGAAAGTTGCACTTTTTCCTAATTATCTGAATGCAAGAGAGAGTCGACGCTGAAAGGCAAGCATTCAAGCCCAATAGCTCGTGCTAGGCGAGTACTTAGTGCTGAGGAAGAATCCCTAATTTTTTTTTAAAAAAAAAAACCCGGAACCCATCGAAGAAAGGACAGGGTGCAATTTCATCCTCGTTAACAGCCCCTCGACAGAAAGCACCATGCCGAAACCGACCGCGAAGACATTGTCTTCCGAACGGCGACATATACCCCTAGCGGACGAAATAACATCTGCTGGCCATCTCAGAACAAAATCGGGCAGCAAACGGAAGTCAAGGTCCGAAGACGAGACGGAAGACGACCACTACCTCGATTCGAAGTCCTCAAAGAAGATCCTGCAAATTGGAAGAGATCTCGCCGAGGAAGACGCGGCAGAGGCCAGGGCTGCTGCAGAGGCTGCTGGTATTGATTTAAAAGCAAAGGCTGCGTTTGATTTTGAGTCCCGACTAGCTGGAGAGGAGTCAAGATACGAAGACGATGAAGATATTGTCCAATATGATGATGATGCGCAGTGGGAAGACGAAGGAGAAATTGAGGAAGTGGTACGCTTTTATGGATTTATTCGCCTTGCTATACGCCATTACCAGCTATTGCACTTCATTTACTAATATTTCAATTACTTGCAGGAAGTCGACCCCAATGACTTGGATATGTTTCACAAATTTCTCCCACGAGACGAAGAAGATCCTGTGTTTCACCCACGGGAGGGTAGTACAGAAGGCAATGGCGAAAGTACCAATTTAGCGGATCTCATACTTGAGAAGATTGCAGCACATGAAGCAGGCCAGTCAACGGAGCCCCTTGTTCTCGGGGGGGGTGCTCCAGAAGACGCCATCGAGATTCCAGCTAAGGCATTAGAAGTCTACGATAAGTATGTCAATCTACTCATTATTGACATTTCAGTACAGTACGCATTAATACTAATCTGAATATAGAGTCGGTTACCTCCTCTCACGTTACAAATCTGGCCCCCTCCCCAAGCCATTCAAAATTCTACCTACTCTACCATACTGGGACGCCCTACTCTCGGTCACCAAACCGGAGGCGTGGACTCCAAACGCAATTTACGCCGGTACTAGGATATTCATATCCGCAAAACCTCACATTGCCCAACAGTTCATCTCCATGGTGCTCCTAGAACGAGTCCGAGATGATATTAGAGAAACAAAGAAACTGCATGTACACATATACAACGCTTTAAAGAAGGCCTTGTATAAACCTGCGTGCTTCTTTAAGGGACTTTTGTTCCCACTCATAGCCAGTGGAACTTGCACACTACGAGAAGCACAGATAGTATCCAGTGTGATAACGCGAGTGTCTATACCCGTCCTTCACTCAGCCGCTGCACTTCTCCGGTTATGCGAGATTTCAGCAGAACAAACCATATCATCTTTCAATGCAGAGGGCACGGGTGCTACAAACATGTTCATCCGTGTATTCCTAGATAAGAAATATGCACTGCCATATAAAGTCATTGATGCCTTGGTATTCCATTTTCTCCGCTTCCGTACTACGAAGCCAGATGAGAACGGCGATGCAAGTATGAATGGGACAGGATCGTACTCAGCCGCTGCTGCAAGGGACTATAAGCTTCCCGTCCTATGGCATCAATCGCTTCTTGCATTTGCCCAGCGCTATCGTAACGATATCACGGAGGACCAGCGTGAGGCGCTACTTGATCTTTTGCTGTCAAATGGGCATAAAGACATTGGCCCAGAGGTACGGAGGGAGCTGCTGGCCGGAAGAGGGAGAGGAGTTGTTGTACCTGAAGTTGTTGAAAACAACGGAGGTGATGATACAATGGATATGACGATATAATCAAGATACAGGCGGGTAAAGGTCTCGTCTAGCGTCTTTAATGGTGGCATGCTATGTCGTATTTTGGACCGAAATATACCAATGATATTTTTTGTTTCTGACATTTCACTGTCCCTTTATATTAAAACAGGTATCTACTTATCATACAGCATTAAGCTCATTCCATGGCTTGGCTCATTGCACTTGGTGTATCTGGTGCTCCGTCTATGGTCACGCTCGTGGGGGCGCTTGCAACGCTGGCCTCTCGTAGGTTTGAAGGCGCTGGTGTGGAAGCATTCGTGCCGCCAGCTGTGTGCGCAACTGGTAATTCTAGCTTCCAGCCAGTACAAATTGCATCCACTTCATCGACGATATCAGCTAGTATGTCCTCGCATATTTGGTCGTTGAATCTATCACCAAAGGGCTTCACGTTTGGAAATTCGTCGGTAGGGGGCCCAATGAACCAAGGTGCCTCAAATCGACAATCTACTGCTCCTCCATTATGGCAGCTAACAGTAGGGTAATAGCCAATCATGCCGTCATCAGCATTCTCTCGTTCGCCAATTCCCAAGTTGTTGCTTGCTTGTGCAAACCGAGAAGCTGGTGGAAGGAAAGCATATAAATTCTGAAAGGGAGTTCCCATTTTAACCCCATTCTTAAAGATAGTAATGCTGGAGCCAGGGAGTGTTCGAAGGGAAGCATCTTCTGCATTTCCTGGAGAAGGAGGCCCATAAGTAGGGGTCTCTTTGAGATTGAAGGCATAATCTCGGAGATGTTTCGAAGCAAAGACATGGCTCTGCTGATACATAAAATCAGACTTTAGATGGAATGGAATTCGATCCCGGATGAAATTAATCGGTACCGGCTGGGAGGTTGGATGGTCTACATCCATTTCATCCCCTTCAGCAGGCGGTTCGTACGTCCCTTCAACGACCTTCTTGTGCAGTTCAAGCGGTGGAAGGGTGATCAACATGCCAATCACATCGCCTTCACAGATGGATTCGTCCTTGGGGAAAAAGTACTCGCATCTCATTCTGTTAACAACCTCGCCATTAACGTCCCGAATACCATAACCATAGCAGTCAACGCCGACATTCACATCAAGGTCAGCTTCACGGCGCGCAAATCCAAGTCGTATATTCCCACGAGGTGATGGCCCCGGCTGTGAGCCTCGAATCACTCCGCTTACCACCTTGGCTTCATAATAGTAGGTCCCCTCTCGTGCGCAGACATTTGCTCGAGCTGAATGCCATGGGTCACTGGTGCTTACTCCTCGGGCATCTTCTGTGAAAGTGATACAGGCAGGAGAGTCTTCGAAGCTGAATCGTGAATGGTAAGGCGGTACATCGGTTTGTCGATATCTAATGTGTGGGAAACCCGGGTCTTCAATTGCATAGGTATATCTAAAACCGTTTCTATTGCTTACTCTAGATCGTTCTGTTAGCTATATGAACTGCCACAGCTACTAAAGCTCAATACATACTTGTCCGCAATATCATAGAATTTATACTCCTGACCAATTATCTCGGATTTTTTTGTACAAGACAAGTTCATCTGGCGTGGCTTTGGGTGTAGCACATCCGCAGGACGAGGGTCGGCGACCGGTATGGGCATGAGCATGGGTAGCTCTAACGACGGAATAGCCGAGCTGGAAGAAGAAACAGTCGTCTTCCTCTCATAACCTCCATCACCGGTATCCTGACGCTTAGTGTCATGTCTCTTTTTATATTCACGTTTCGTCCTCTTTGCTTTCTCCCTTGCCTTCTCGCCGCCGGTGGTCATCTTGTATTGTGAGGATGCGGATCCGTGGGCAATTTAGGGTTGAACCTGGATGAGTAGGAGGGCGGTATCATTCCAAAACGGCACGACCAGCATCGTTTCATCTATTCCGACCCTTGAGCGTCGTCTCGGCGGAGCAATTGTTTTCTGCGTCTTGATATCAATCAGCGCTGTGAGGTTCAGTCGAAGCCGGGAATGTGTCACGTGATATGTATTTGACGGGAGTGACGGTACTGAAAGATGAAGAATCTACAATAATCAATATCTTACAGGTATATATCCACAATGTACAAAAAGGTGGATGAGAGTACAGTCTCACGTCTTGCCTATCTCTTCAAGCATCTTCCCCACCTCTAGGACCATATCATCGTCTCCAAACTGGCCAATGACTTGTACCCCTGCATGGCGTGGAACACTTTGACTCTTAGATTCTTCTCCGTCGAAGAGTATCGGAACACTCAATGCAGGAAGGCCTGCAAGGCTGCACGGGACGGTGAAAACATCGTTTGTGTACGCATCAATAGGTGAAGAATTTTCCAATGCTTTTATAGCGGGTGCAGCTGAAGGAGCTGTAGGGCAGATGATCACATCAATCTTTGCATTTCTCCCAGCGTCCTCCTTATCGACAAGGTCTCGTGACCCCAGGGTCGTTGATGCTGCGTGTAGAAGCGGGTGTTGAAGTCGAAATACGGAGTTAAAGTCGGCCTGAACCAATCTCCGGATCTTCTGCGCTTGAATGAAGTAATTGTCAATTTTATCTGCGCTGAGAGAGAACGTTCCCAGCAGTATTCGCCGCCGGACTTCAGCTCCGAACCCTTTTCCACGTGTGTTTGAATAAAGATAGTCCCCCGCATTGTCCGCAGATTCAATGTCTCTGGTGCCGTAACGAACACCGTCGTACTTTGATAGATTCGACGAGGCCTCCGCTGGGGCCAAGACATAGTATGCAGATAAAGCTTGTTTGGTGGCCGGAAGCGTGATAGGATGAATGCTATGTCCTTTGGACTGGAGGTATTCGAGAGTTATCTGCCATGCAGATCGGATCTCAGGGCTCAGTTCGTGTATATTGTACTCAAGAGGGACTCCAATTCGCAGTCGAGTGGGTCGTGCTGATTCCTCCCTGACAGCAGTTAGGATGCGTGACCGGCTCGTTGGTGAAATGCTGGTTGGATCACGACTATCATAACGGTTTACCACATCTAGTATACGAATATTAGTTATAGGTAATGGCTGCATAATGAAACGTTCCGGCTTACCAAATATGTCATGGATAGTGGATGTGTCTTTCGCAAATATTCCAACAGTATCGAGGGAGTTCGCGTACGCCACAACTCCCCATCTTGATATTAGGCCATACGAAGGCTTAAACCCAAAGACACCCGTATATGCCGCCGGAAGACGCACTGAGCCACCCGTATCGGTTCCCAATGCCCTGCTTGAGTTAGCACTATATTGGATATACCTTGGAATGTGACATACGCATGGCATTGGCCGGTTGCAACTGCAATAGCACTGCCTCCGGAGCTTCCACCAGCCGAATAAAACTCATCTCCTCCATTTTTATTTTTCACAGGGCCGAAGTGGGAATGTATGGAGTGAGAGCTATAAGGGTGTTAACATTTAGCATCCGAACGACCCTCCCATAGCTAGCCGTTGGGAAAAGGCAGCCTACCCCATGCCAAACTCGTCCAAGTTCGTCTTCCCGGCCACAATAGCGCCTGCATTCTCCAATAAATCAACAACGGTCGCGTTGAAAGGGCTCGTAAAATCTTGCAGAGTCGCAGATCCGCAGGTGGTTGGTAGTTCGCTGGTGCAGATGTTATCTTTCACGCCTATGAGTTTACCATCCAACGGCGATATAGATACATCTATCGATTGCTCAATTGAGATTAGCCATGAAGGAGCTATATAAGTAGAGTGATGGGTATATTTCACCTTTCCCACGGCGGTAGTCCGCAGCTTGAGCTCGCTCTCTCCATGTCGCGGAGCGCTCTAATGGAGTGATGAAGGCATTTAGGCTGGCAAATGTCTTCTGATTAAGTAGACATTTCTCTGCCTCGCGCAAGAAGGACATTTATCCTTCAATTTCAAAACCAGCTACAAACCGTCGGATGTTTGCAATGTTGAATTAGAGAGACGGAAATAATAGTTTAAACATGAGATAAGGTCCCGTCCCGTCAGAGAGGCGTCACGTGATGATCTCTATGTCCCGGCACCAAGAGCTGGATCTAAGCCGCATAGAAGAAACAAAGTAGGAAATTGAACGCTACCATATCGAATGGACCCAAGGAATAATATATATAAAGTCGTAAAACCCAACTACCACGGATATCTAGCGCCGCTTCAAATGGAGATGGCGTGACAAGCCTCATGTTCATGCCCCAACTCCAAACCGATTATGACAGGCGAAAACGAAATAAGAAATGAAAACGGTACCAGGGAAAAGGAAACGAGTAGCATATGTCTGTACAGTCATCCAGAATTAAGGACTTCGGAAAGAAAGGCAACGACATCATCCTCTCAATGCCCTCAGTCTGCCCGCCAGGCCGTCTTCAAACTCCGCCTCTTTCTGTTTGTTGGCCACAGTAAGCTCTTCGCGTGGAGCGGCATTCTCCTCCAAGCCCTGACGTAAATCGACCCCAGCACTATCCGCCAGTCGCTCCATGAGACGGTCGACATCTTCATCTCCCTCAGCGCCATACTCTTGCATCTGGACATCCTTGGAAACTCCCTCCAGGGCAGACCCAGCCAGTTTAAAGTCTTCTGACCGGGAGACGAACTGATTGGCAACAGCGAGTGTGCGTTCAAGGTTTATGCTCCTTGATGCTGAGTCAAGTGCCTTGGATGCTTTCATGAGGGATCGTGTAGAGTCGCGGGTACTTTTGGCGGCGGAGAGATCGCTGTATATCACGTCTGCCTCTGCTGATTTTGAAAGCAGGGTAACGGACCGGCGTTTTTCGCGGATTGCTGAGCTGGCGTGGATGCGGGAGATTTGGAATTGTCCTTTCTTCATGGCTTTGATAGCCTTGTCTTCCTGTGCGCGGGCAGAAGCTTCGGCCTTGGCTGCTTGTTTCCGTAGCTGGTTACCGTTGACCTAGTTATGTCATTAGTTATGCACCTAGTGAGGATAGTATCCTGAAAAGTAAGGATGGGCTTGGAGTGGATATATACCTTTACTTCGGCCATGGCCTCAAGGAGGGGGTCTCGCATACCCATATTAGTGGCGGTAAGTCTAACACCGAGGAGTATGCACTGGGGGCCAAAAGAATATAAGTCGGGGGTGTAGCAGATAAAGGCTATGCCATGTAAAGCACTCGGGAAACAGAGCTCTACCGTATGATATTGGGTATCTCTATGTCATCAGCAGCATCGCTGTGTGCCTGAAGTTCGACGATGAAGATGTCACAGCGCCAAGCCTCCAACTGACGTAATAATCACGTGCTATATTTGTCATGTGATTTAAACGGAGCCTCATCGGAACACAATTTATTCCGTAACCTAATTCCTGGAACCCTAAAGCCCCCGCCCGCCCGCACCACCGGGATCTTCCATAGAACTTTAATTGAAGCTATTCGTCAACATCAGGGGCTTTTTCTATCCTTAGACAGGCACGCAGAGGTTCCAAAGACGGTGAAAAGGAACCTATCTCAGGCAACATGAATATTCAGAAGCCTGCGACCACATGTAAATACCCACCCTTCCACTCAATAGTTACTAGGATCTTGTGCCAATCCCCGCAGGAACGCATCCAGAATGTCCATGAGAGACTCCCAGGCTGTCTCTTATTCAATTCATCAAGCCGTTTTCTATATCAAATCACTGCCCAGACGACATGCTATTATGCTCAAGAATAATCAATTTATGCATGTTAGCCGATATTCATTGGATTTTATTTGAGAAAGGTCATGAAGTATCGCGACAGGGCTACTTATCTGCCGGGGACTGTCGGGCAGGTGTAAAACTAGCCATACCCAAAGTGATCTGTCTTGTGATGCGGTATATTATCACAAGCGGGTAACATCCACTTCACCTCTATTTTCCAATAGATTGTTTGTGATAGTGCAGTGTCTAGCTTGCTGGCTTCCTATTCTTGCCACGCCGGATAGAAGGCTTCCTGGGAGGGCTGTGTATGTAAAGGGGGAACACACCCACAGGAATTGAGAGTACTTTCCAAGTCAAGCCAATCTCATACAATTCTCCCCTTCATCAAGAACAAGATCAAGATCAAGATCAACATGAAGTTCTCCATTTTCTCCGCGGCTTCTCTTCTGGCCACCGCTGCCCTGGCAGGAACTGCCTGGGAAGAGCGTCACGGTCTCCCCTTTGATCCCTTCAAGCACACCTTCGACAAGCTGACCAAAAACGGCTACCGTCCCACATATCTCACCGGCCATGCTGAATCGAATGGTGACCCTCGACACAACGGCATTTTCAAAACGCACCTCTTCGACGGGATAAGCTGGACAGCCGAGTATGGCTACGAGCCTAAAAAATTCGGCGAAACCATCAAAGATCTGAGGAACCAAGGGTACTTTCCCATGCAAGTTCAGGGATATAACATGGGCAAGGAGCCAACTGAAGGCCACCTGAGACGATTCAATGGCATTTGGCATAAACACACTGACGGTAGGACAGTCCGTTGGGAATTGCGGGTGGACTCAACAAAAGACCAGGTGACGGAGGCTTTGCACAAGTTTCCACCGAAAGGATATCGTCTTGTTAGTTTGAGCGGGTATGGCATCAGATCTGAGCAGCGCTTCACCGCAGTGTTTCAGAGAACCCCTGGTCCGGATTGGAAGGCAGCTCTTGGTATGCGCAGGGATGAATACCAGAGGAGAACGGAAGAGATGAGGAAGCTAGGCTTTTTTCCGGCGGATCTCAGCGTGTATAACATTCAAGGGACAGTGTTCTTTTCTGCCATCTGGCAGCAGGAGGGCGGCAAGTCGGACAAGTCAATGTCTAGGTTTGGAATGACTGCAAAAGAGTTAGAGGACTGGTTCAATCAGTACAAAGAAAAGGGGTACGAGCCAATGACTGTGTGTGGGTATCTCGAACACAACTCTGTGAAGTATGCTGCCATCATCGGCAAGCCATAACGATACAGTTGACCTAACTGTTAATTGCTAATACTTAACTAATTTAATAATATTCATGGTTGACTACTCCTGTTGAATACGACAATCTAAACTCCGTATAATCTTGATAGAGACTGGCCAGTAAAGATGAGTAGAAGCAGGTAGGTGAGGACTGCTGTTTGTTTTCTGGTCCTTTTTACCAGCCTTTCGTCCATTTAGTTAACTGGCGGGGCCTGAGTCCACTGCTTGAGGTTACCACATAAATAGGGGGTGGCATGTGGAAGCAACCTAACCACGAGCCAAACCCCGGCCGGATATCGCCGACATCCTTCTTCCTCCTATTACAAGCTCTATGCCATGATCCGAGGTTTTGACTTTTGACGGACGAGAGGGTACAGATCTTCTCTGATATCAGATACTGGACCTGAGGTGCCAGAGTTTTTGATTCATTACTCTCTGTCCAACTTTCTGAGCAGGTAACAAGTCAATAAGATAAAAGGGGCGAAATGAGTATGTGACGGTTCTTTGACCATTTTTCAATACAGATCAGAAGATCGGCTGCAAAAGATAAAGATGATCGGAGTAATTGTGGATGTATTGAACCTAATCCTAAATTCTGTAGCTATGACCAACCCAACTAGTACTCCTTGCACCCCGAACGCCGTGACCGTGACCGAGAAGAGAGCGAGCCTCGCTTCGTCGGTACTTGTTTGTTGACTCCAATAACCTTCCTTGGCCGGTCTCTAAGTGACCTGCCGCTGTTTTTCCCTCTATATGATGATGGTGATAATAATGCTGCTCCCGTCTTCTCTGCCCGATCAATCGCAAAAAGGATGGTGACCAGTGACTCCCATCGTTGCCGAGACTCCAGCTGAACGATCGACTGACCCGACCGAGAAGATCCGAGCATTGCACTCTCACTGAGCACCAGCTGCAATTCCCTGCTCGTCGCATCTCTCAAGGGACGCGCCAAAGCTGGGCTGCAAGCCAGAAGCCGGGAGAGGAGTCTGCTCCGGAAAACCGATCGAGTCGTCGAGTTTCTGCTGGAGTTGTTGTTGTTGTTGGTTGTCCTCGTCGGGACCGAGATCAACCAGAGAATCAAAGGCAAAAGGGCCGAGATCTGAGTCGGGGAGAAGTTCAAGGGAGAACCCGTCTTCAAGGAATGAAAGATCAGGCTCGCTGGATGAATCAGCGTCGAATAAGCGGCTGAGGTCAGCGTCTGATAGAGGGGGAGGGTGAACATGATCATGTTCATGAAGGAGAGGTATGTTGAGGTGGCTGAGGTCGAGGTCATCCAAGGCCGGGCCTCCGATTGACACTGCAGGTCACACAACACCGCTGCAGGATGTTGTGTCAAATCGGAGGGGGCGGCGGAGGAGTGATCCAAGTCAGCCGGTGAGAGGGTGGTCGACGATGTCGAGTTTATATGGTTTGAGGTGGTGGTGGTTGTTGTTGTAGGAGTAGTAGTTGGGTCTGGGTTGGTAGTAAATGGAATGCTGTCTATATTGTCCAGCAGGTCGTTTTCCTGCTTGAACAGAACGGGAGCCAAAGTAGGAGATGTCGAAGGGGCGAGGGTGGCCGAGATGCTGGACGTGCTGGCCGAGGCTGAAGCAGAGGCAGGGCTGCCTGGATTGGACTTGGAGGTCTGTATCTCAGAGGCCAGTTTCGCCACCTGCTGGCTGAGCCGGTTGTTCTCAGCCTCCATCTGTGAGAGACGGCGGAGGAGGAACTCGTTCTGCTGCTCGATCTTGAGTTTCTCACCCTCGAGCTTCTCTATCTCGAGCCTCTTGCGCTCCCGGGAGATCTGGGCGGCGGCACGGTTGCGTAGCACCCGTTCTATCCGCCGCTGTTCCTTTTCATCTTCTGTCTTTGCTCGTTTTCTACGTCAAGTTAGTAATTGCTATTTGACCAATAACAACCAAAAAAGGGGGGAATGTAGTGGCAGGAGGCATACCTTGGAGGGAGGTTTGTCTTGGGCGTAGGCAGCTCCTGGCCCCAGGACTTGCGCTTCTTGACTGGCTTCTTCTCCGCCGGCTTGGGGGTGTCGACCTTGGGCAGGCCCTCGGGGACGACATCCTCGAACTTGAGCGTGGTGTCAGCCGGCGAGACGGTCAGACGGGGGATCTCAGCCCCGGGAGAGGGAGACATCGAGTCCATGGAGAAGGCCTCGACAGCAAACGTTGACTCCGTCATGGTGTGGTTGACTTCCTGTGGAATGGCGTTGTGTATGGCGGCGGTGGTTCTTGTGGTTGTTTGCTGGATGCAGTGCAGAGACTGACTGTCAGAGAGCAAGCATGGTGGACGGACGGCAGCCTGGGAGGGTTGATGTCCCAGCCGGCGCGGTCGACGCAGTTGATGCCAGCCTGTCTTCTTCGCCTCTTTTCTTCGCCTCCGTCGGAGTCGCAGCGCTGGAAGTTTCGAACGGCGAAGGGAGCGAGAGAGGGGGGACACCGCCTTTATAAAGAGGCCACGGTGGCAGAAAAGGAGTGACTAAGCAGATGAGTCAGCCTAGCCACGCTTGCCTTTTGGGGCTAGCTCAAGATGACTCATCCTGCACGTGCGTTTCACTAGATAGGGGCTGCTTAGTCATGAAGCGAGCTGCGGGTCAAGGGAAGACGAAAGAAACATCCAAGACGACGACGAGAGGACGAGACAACAAGACAAGAAGACAAGACAAGCGCACAAGAAGACGCACAGGAAGACAAGAAAGTGACGAGTAAGATGAGCGAGACGGTGGTCGTGCGACAGCGGCGAGGAGGATGAGGAAAAGGAAGGAGATGAGAGGTCTCACCGTCGCTGATCAGGACCGGCAGAGTAAGTATAACATGGAGGAGCAGGGCGCGGTTGTCTTACCTTGCCGCTGGCTCCAAATCCATTATCAAACGAAAAGGGCCCCTACGGAGTACATACGCGCACCACTGTGGCACCGAGCACGGCGTACCTTCATCAACGTGCGTTGTACGCTGGCCAGTTGGGTGGATAGAGTCGGCGCAAGGGGGTTTAAACCTCTCGCTTTTCGCCGTTTGTTGGAGTAAGTTCGTTAGTGAGCTGGTTGCGGTGGCTGCCGAGCCTGCGGAGAATGGAGGACTTGGGACAGCGACAGGTCCAGATCCAGGCCCAACTTCTCGCTGCCAGGTTTGTGTTCAGGGGCGCCGTTCCTGAGCCCTTGGGTCTGACAAAGTGGCGAGGCTGACTTGGTCGAACCGTACTCCGTACGGAGTACTCTGTGGCCACCGGTGACTATCAAGCCAAGCGACCGTTTGTCTTCGGCTGGAGCGAGATACCTAAGACAGTCAACCACACCATCTCATGTTCATATGTGCAGGTTAGACTGCGCCCCTTACCATCAAACTGACCTTTCAGCCTCAAGTCCATTGTGGTTTTCAGAGACATATCAGTGCATATATTGGCCCTGAGAATACTCCGTACAACTCAGTAGTAGGATGCCGGTGTAAAGGCCTCTGTCATTGCTTCGCCCTCATAAAGGCCACCCCTACCGATTATGGTTATCAAATTCTTAAATGCAGTCAGAACCACCCCTGTACCAGCGACAATCCCACTCCAACGCCCCCAGGGTCCTTCTAGTACAAACGGTGCATATGTCCGGGCGGATGGGGGCTACGGAGCTCTATTTCCGGAGGTATGGATCAGTCCAGTTTATCTGGTTACTTAACACAGCAACACAGCAGAAGAGATGTTGGCCTTGGGATTTTGTGTTCAAGAATAATACCAGCTGACGTCTTTGGACCCCATCTGTGGCCGGACAATCTGACTTGCCTTGCGCCTTAGACAACCTAAAGACCATCCTCTCTCTTCGAAGCAAGCCTTCATCGAAGCCAATTCTTTTAACGCGGTACGGAGTAGTTCTGCACCATTTCACCATGCTGGCAGAGTGTGTAGAAAGGTTGGTGGATGCATGAACTTGGATGAAAGACGATGACTTGATCATCTCGATACCAGCAAGCATGAGACGATTATTGAGTTCATTCGGGATCGTATTTCAACTCTGGGTCTCAGCCAGATAACATTAACCTGCTTTGACGAAGACGCAGCAGCAGGCGCAGCAGACTCTGCCAAGAGAAGTCCGTCAGTTCAGTGTTAGTTGTTGGATTGAATGAAGGTACTCGCTCAAGGAAGCCCCATCATCCCAGGCGTCGTGGTGGCCCAGCCACACGGCCACTGATAACCAGCTGATGATGAGACTTGGGCCTTTTATGGATGAGATTCGTGATACGCCTTTTTTTTCCCATGAGGACCAGCTACATGTAAATTTTATTTCTCACTGGTGACATAACTAAGATCTGCAAAGGTTGCTCTTGATATAGCACGTAACATCACTCTTAAAGACATACGCTCCGCCATCAACAACTATAAGACGATGAGCAGAAAGGTCACTCTGCTGGGGAAGTCTTTTGATGTGAACTTCAGCTTTAAATGTCCAAGTGGCATTTACAACGTGAAAGCAGCATATTTGAATAGCCAAATGCGCTCAGTGGTGGCTGTTAGCAAGCTACTACCAAGGGTGCCTGGGGTTAATCGGACAGCCAGTTAAGCTTCGTTACCTGGATGGACTAACCCGGCAGCTAGTTTTGCTGCTTCGTGGTCTTCTCTCTGTAAATCATTAATGAGCGCTAGCCTAGATATGTTCAGGTACTGCAGGCTCTTTTACTATTTGATATTCTATTGCATTAAACGAATGTAGTAAATGCATTGTGATGGTGGTGGAGTGAAATGCCCAAGTAGCCAGCGGGATACTTTGTATAACTAGATATGCAGACGCAAGTCGAGGGTCTTTCACTGTTTCTCGCTACGAATATCAATCGTTCACCACCATGCTACATATCTCCTAACAGTAATACGTTATCTCCAGGCGTGACCATGAAAACAAGGTGCTTTGAAGCAATAATCATATTCCCAAGTTCTTTTCCGCTATGCCTCGGCCAACTATCCGAATGATGCGATTTCACATCTCCTCGTTTTGGCGCCGGACAGGTACCCCCAGAACGCCTGCAAACCGGAACCTACACATCTCATGTCGAGGTATGGCATGACCACAAGGTTCAAATCCTCAAACTAAGCTTCTATTTAGGCAAACTGATAAGTGAAGACAAACTCTTTGAGTATACAAACGGAGGTTTTTTGGTCAATGAAAAGTCTCAATTCGAGCGGCGCTATGTCAAATTCAACCTGGATGCTCTCTGCGATATTGTAGCCACAGTTGGGGGCCAGCCTTCCCCAGTTAAAGCAGTTGAGAAGATGGAGGGCGGTTTCAGCAAGGCTCTTCTGATGAGAAAAGAAAATGGAATGGAGATTGTCGCTAAAATTGCTTGCCGAAATGCTGGGCCCGCAGGTTATACCACCGAGTCGGAGGTTGCTATATTGAAATACGGTAAGCAAGGGACTTGATGTTTTACGTTGACTACTTTATTTATGCTTATAGCAATATAGTGAAACAGCAGACAAGTATTCCAGTTCCCGAAGTATATACATGGTCTTCTGACCCTACCAACCCGGTGGAGGCAGAATGCATCATCATGGAGGAAGCAGCTGGTGTCCCCCTTTTCAAGATATGGGGGGAGATCTCCCTCTCAGATAAACTAGAGCTTGTTAAAAGACTTACGGCATTCGAACGCGAGCTTTGTTCCTTACAATTACCCGCATATGGAAGTTTGTATCTACGGAGCTTCGGTGGGGGTCTTCCTAACTTTAAGCCTCTAGATATAGAGGCTGACCCATCACAGTCATATTGCGTGGGCCGTTCAGGTGATAGAGTGTACGTGCTAGAGGATATTGAAGGGCCAAGTGTCGATTTAGGTCCATGTAAGCACTCATCAGGTATATCTCTGGTACGCCGCTGACCACATAAAAACAGGGGATACACTGGCAACGTTTGGCATTGCGATTGCGAAACGCGAAATCGCTCGTGTGTTGCAAGGTCTGCCGCCCCACCCAGGGACGTTCTATCAAGGAAGTTGTGAGGAGAAGGAAAAGCTGCTTGACGAAGTTATCAGTCTTATGAGAATGTTGAGCTCAGCTTCTCATCCTGTCCTAGCACAATTGGGGAAGCCTGTGATCTGGCATACGGACCTTCACATGGGGAACATCTACGTCTCTCCCGACAACCCGTCTCAGATTCTCTCCATCATTGACTGGCAATCAATATCCGTCCTCCCTCTTTTCCTACAGGCACGTTGGCCCATTTTCCTAGAGCCGCCTGAAAACTTTGTTAGGGGGTTTCAAGCGCCAAAATTACTAGACAACCTGAAAGAGATGGATGAAGAGGACCAACAGCTAGCGAAATTTGAATATCGACAAGCCATGGTTGCGAAAACGTATGAGGTTTCGACCTATCTCGAAAACAAAGAAACTCATACTGCAATGAACCTCCCGCGTGTCTTTCGAGAACTGTTCAAGCGCTGTGGAGAGACGTCGGAAGTTGGTATCCTCCCTCTCCGCGCGTGTATGATTGAGATCTTCCAGAACTGGTCGGAGCTAGGCTTCGTCGGGGAATGTCCTTATTCTTTCAGTGAGAACGAGATTGCCGAGCATGACGCTCAGTTCACAGACTATGAGGACTGGTATAAGGCGAATGAGATCGCGAGAAAGTGTCTAGATACGGATGAAGAAGGATGGATATCTCCCGAGTTGGATATAGAGGAGAAACGCCGGCAGAACCAAGAACTGTTTGAAACGTTCGTCAAGCAACTGTCGACTGAGAAGACTCTGGAAGAAGCACGGCGTATGTGGCCGTTCGTTGATGACAACAGATAACGAAGATGTTGATTGCCACGAAGGCTTTCTTCCAGCAGCGGATACCCTTTATACCTTCTTGTGGTTCTGGTTAGTTATTAGCTGTGACCTGCCATCCAATGCCAGCTGTATCATAGACATATGTAAGATTATATAGACTGTAGAAGCCTCGTCCGGTGTTGTTCTTTTCTGCCTCGGCTTAAGAAGCAGCCATGCCAAGACCCACCGTCATCGCCGCAAAACAAAACACCAACAAATAGCACTTTTTGTGACTTCCAGCTGCAGAGCTACCAAGTGTTTACTCAACGCTGCATAGCTCGGCACTTCAGCAGCTTTTAGCAAAGAGCAAGGCAGTGAATCGACTAAATAGGTGCCCTCCAGTATGGTAGCTCCTCGAGCTTCCGCCCTTTTTGCACAGTCATGTCGACGGACACTTCTCCCAGCCAGAGTCTCCCTCGATAGCCGGCGGTACATATCTGCCTATGGATACACCCAGGCCAAAGCCATTGTCTTTCCAAAATATGGCGAGCCCAAAGATGTTCTCAAGTCTGTCTTTATGTCCTCGGGCGTCATCCGGAATTGTTTGGAACGAGTGTTGTACTGACTGGCCTGGTCTAACTAGTTTACACGCATACTCCATATCTCCCCCCAGTGGCACTCAATGCACCCTCCGGCTACTGGCCGCCCCGCTCAACCCAGCGGACTTTAACCAGATACAAGGCGTCTATCCGACAAAGCCCACTTTCACTACCTCGCTAGGCACAATCGAGCCTCATGCCGTGGCTGGCAACGAGGCAGCTTTCGAAGTCATATCCACCGGCTCGGGCGTCAAGTCTCTTCGCAAGGGTGACTGGGTCGTCATGAAACACTCTGGCATGGGCACATGGCGGACATATGCTCAGTGGGAAGAGTCGCAATTGATAAAGATCAATGAGCAGGACCGTGAAGGCCTAACCCCCATCCAGGCCGGAACCGTGAGCGTAAATCCTGTAACTGCATACCGGATGATCAAGGATTTTTGTGAATGGGACTGGCTGCGGGGTGGGGAGGAGTGGTTGATTCAGAACGGTGCAAACTCAGGTGTAGGGCGGGCGGCTATCCAGATCGCGAAACAGTGGAATATCAAGACTCTGAACATCATTAGAGAGCGCGAGACAGCGGAGGAGACGGAGAAGCTTAAGAACGAGCTGCTCTCACTGGGTGCCACGGCCGTCATTACTGAAGCAGACCTCCTGTCTCCGGCAAAGTTCAAAGAGATTGTTCACCAACAAACACGAGGAGGCAGAGAGCCCATTCGTCTAGCCCTTAACTGTGTTGGCGGCAAGAATGCTTCTGCCATGGCCAAGGCACTTGCTCCCAATTCTCGACATGTCACCTATGGTGCCATGGCGAAGATGCCAACCTCACTGACTGCTGGGTTGATGATATTCAACAACATCTCCTTCCACGGCTTCTGGGTGTCGAGGTGGAGCGACCAGAACCCAGTCTCGAAGGAAGAGACTATTCGTGATATCTTCCGTCTTACTCGGGACGGCAGGTTTAAAGACATTCCCGTTCAGGAGGTGAAATGGACAAGGGATACGTCAAAGGACGAGCTCGTTGACAGCGTACAAGGGACGCTGGGAGGCTACAGGAGCGGCAAGGGAGTCTTTGTCTACAGCGGTGAGTAGACCTATCATTCTTCAATATATGTATGACTAGTTCAACTACAGGCTGGATATGGACGTTGAAATGATATACCTTGTTTGCTATATCAAAAGCACAATAATGACGGAGCTGGTGGATACCTACGTATCGGCTTTATCGGAACCATGGCACAAAAGGTCAAACAAAAAGTTATTCACCTGTACCTTTATTTGCTGCTGGTAATCTGCTTGCTGGATAGTATGTTCGCTTTGATGTTCACTATACGAAAGACCGGCATTATTTATCCACTTTTGCTTTGTACTTTCTTCTATATATACCCCTGATATCCTACACGTCGACATGACATCTTCAACCATCCTGAGCTTTGCTTCTCCCCTGGAGGTACAGAGGCCTTCCGTCATGAGCATAGGAGTAGAGACCTTGGTCTGACCCTAAACTAAATTGACCTTCCCTACTCCTTTTAAAAATTATAGACTAACATGAATATATAATTCACCTATACGCCATTACCCTGGAATTTGATAGACCGAGGAGACGGAATTGGTCCATCGTTTCATGCATGTCCGAATGGCGATTTCCCCGGCCCTCCCACTAATTGGGTCGTCTTTATTCCCGCATTATGGCACTTATTGTTGTCGCACGTTTTGCGGCTCCTAGAGTGGGTGGGATGGCTCGAACATGCCAAATTGTTCAGGATCGTTGGAGATATATAATCTTGATCTCCCCCCTTGGTCGTCCGAACGATCTCCATGGTGCCCGTCGCCTTTGCATTTTTCACTCTTGGGATATTCGACATCGAGTTAATAACCCAGAAACACATTACTCCCCCTGTCCCATTCTCTGACCCAATCTACGCTCTATGGGACAGGGTTCAAGGTTGGATACTAGATGAGGTTGTTTTACCACATATTCTAGCCATAGGATACTTCCACTTTGGCGAAGAAAGTGATGGAGAGACCTGAGTCCTTGTGTAAAGCGGTGGTGCGTTTTCTGAACAATGCTCCGTGGTTGGGGAAACAGTTGACCGCGGGCTATGCCGTCCGCTTGATTACACAGGAGTCACAGGAGTCACCAGAAATCTGCTGGTTTTGTCTTGATGAGCAACATTCACTTTGGGATCTCTCCCGCACGATAACGACACGATATTGTCCGAGGACAACATCCAGCATTTAAACGAAGCTCTTCTATTTACATATGATGCCCCTTCAGCCGCCCCTTCAGTGCAATGGAACGATGACCGGTTGAGTTGACACCGCACTTTTCATCTCTCTAACTAAATCCCTTGTTATAAGGAGAAATTAGCCAATTGAAGACCTACAGAAGTCCGTATTGCAAAGCTTAGAAAGTGACAAACTTCGCCCCCAGTGTATCATCCGCTTTAGTAATTCGTACCTCGCGGTCGTATTCGGTACGACCAAAGCGAGGGACAGAGCTTTGCGAAAGCTGGAGAAGCTGGAATTTTCTTTTAAAGGAAAGCCGGTGAAGCTTAACTTTGGGGGCTCAAGTGGAACAAGGTCCGACTTTCTGGTCTATTCCGGTTGGTTTTGAGCTTTGAAAGAGTTGACACATTGAAGGTGAGTGATGGTTAGCGAGCTCTTTGACCTGTTGTATAAAACCCGGATCTGGGCTTCCTAGCATGCAAAGAATTCACTGACAGAGGCAGAGATGCCAGTCTGAACAGCCTCCGGGTAGAGTACGGTCAATTTTCATGCATCTGCAGCAACATCTCTACCAACAGGATGAGACGGACTGACTGGGGCTTGCTTGAAGTTCCCACAGCTAGACACTCCAACAACTCCCCTTGGAGTCTTTTTATTTTATTTATTATATTCGGGGGATGTTGGGACATACACCGGAGGCCATTCATATACACCGGCAAAAAAAAAAAGCAGAAGAGCGCAACCAGTTTAGGTACATCTTTGGGAGAATTCGTCCAAGCATGTCATAGCCTGCTTGCTCTGCCTATATATATAGTGAATATTGTAGAATATTGGAGCATATAATGCAAAATCAAAACGATCCCCTGAGATCTAGATGCGTTCAGCTAGTCCGGTGCCTCGTTAGTAAGCCGACGTCATAGGCCGGAAGCTTTTTGCATAAATAGTTAAATAGTTAGTTCCCACTAGTTAACCAGTTAACTCTGTAACTAGTTGGTTGGTTGGTTGAGTGGTTGGCAACTCCCGAGTAAACAACAAGAAATATACGCATCAAACAACCACCGCAAGGAGACCGTCTTCCATCCTCTCCTGCCCATGCTTGACAGCGCTGCTCTCGTCCTGATAGGGCTGGCTGGAGTCGCCCTCGGCTCGCAGCCCCAGGCTCCAGATCCCATTCCTGCGCCGCTGAGGGAGCTGACATGGGGCCAGCTTAACTTCCTCCACACCACCGACGTCCACGGCTGGTATTCGGGCCATCTACAGGAGTGAGATAATGCTCTCCTTTCTTCTGATGTGATTACCTACGCCCATGTACACGGAGTGCTGAATCTTGTTGCTGCCGCAGGCCGTCGTTCTCTGCCGACTGGGGAGATTATGTCTCCTTCGCGACTCGCATGCGTGAAAAGGCCGAAGCAGCCGGGACGGATCTACTGGTAGTCGATACTGGAGATCGGGTCGAAGGGAATGGACTCTACGACAGCTCAGACCCCAAGGGAGTGTATGCCTCGGAGTTTCTGAAAAAGCAGCATATTGACCTGCTTTGCTCGGGAAACCATGAGCTCTACAAGCAGAACACGTCGGAGGCTGAGTTCCGCACGACTGTACCGAACTTCAAGGGTAACTACCTTGCCTCTAACATCGATATCATCGATCCGGAATCTGGTGAGATTGTGCCTCTTGCCCAGCGGTTCAAGAAGTTCACCACCAAGATGCAAGGAATCCGGATTATGGCGTTCGGGTTCTTGTTCGATTTTACGGGGAATTACAACAATACCGTTGTGACGCCTGTTGAAGAGACGATCAAGCAAGCGTGGTTCCAGAAGGCTATTAGAGACCGGGAAGTTGATCTCTTCCTCGTTATTGGCCATGTCCCGGCCAAGTCGAAGGAGTACGCTGCCATCTTCACCGCGATACGGTCGGTCCAGTGGGACACGCCGATTCAGTTCTTTGGGGGGCATCATCATATCCGTGACTACGTCAAGTATGATAACAAAGCATACAGTCTTGCCAGCGGGCGATTTATGGAAACTATTGGCTTTGCGTCGTTGAGTGGGCTGAGCACAGCGAAGAAACAGACCTCTGCGGCCAGGACCTCCCCTGTTTTCACTCGAAGATATATCGATAACAATCTATTCTCACTATACCACCACTCGGGCCATGATGAGTCTACTTTCCACACACCTGAAGGGAAGAAGGTGACTGAAGATATCCGGAAAGCTCGAAGTGCTCTCAAGCTTGACCATGTCTACGGCTGTGCCCCGAAGACACTGTGGATGTCCCGGGCCAAATATCCGTCCGACGATAGCATCTACAGCTGGCTCGAGAAAGAGGTCCTCCCTAGCTCTCTTAGGCCCCATCTCCGTGAGAATACCGCTGGTCTCGCTATCATCAACACGGGCGGCATCCGGTTTGACATCTTCAAAGGCCCATTTACTCAGGATGGCGCGTACATCGTGTCGCCATTTACGAATGAGTTCCGATTCATGAAGGATGTGCCGTATGACAAGGCCGTCATGGTCTTGAAGGTGCTGAACAAGGCTACCAACATTCTCACGCAGGCAGGATTTATGCCTATGGATTCTTCATCTCTTAGCCCACCGGAACAGTGGTCCAGAACGGAAGACTTTATTGCAAAGGCCGATCATATACCACTGTCCCATGGAGCCAACAATGAGCAGAATCCACTGCAGGACGGTGATGAGCCTACCCTGACTCCAGGATACACTACCAAAGATGACGGTGGGACAGATGGAGACGACACTGTGCATACCCCTGTGTCCTTTTACCGGGCTCCAAACTGCATCATGGCTACCATCACAAACGATGATGACTCTTCCTCGACGCCGGATGTAGTGGACCTGCTGTACCTCGACTTTCTCGAGCCTTGGGTGACTGTGGCTACTAAGATCGTCGGGATCGACTTTGACCCTAAGAAAGACGCAGAGGCCTTTATGCCCGGCGTCCAGATGAGAACCATGCTCACGGCCTGGGCAAGTAAGCACTGGAGCTGTCCTAGCTCTTAGTAGTTCCGTGTTAGATTCTATATTGTTTGTTAGCCCTGATAGATCACTTTTCTGCTTCTTCGTTTCTTCGCAAAGACTTCACTAGACAGCTTTACTTGGAATTAGTCATGGTTTACCCCTTAGCAAGTCTCTCGCCACGTCGTCGCCGTCACCACAACAGCTGTAGCTGTCATCGTACTTGTTTCTGGCTGTATGTAGTTTAGTTCTTGATGTTGAATTTTGATATCGATCCTCGAAAGGTCCAGACTGCGTGATCCACGTGACATCTTAGTCAGCTCAACAAGCCGTCAACAAAAAAAAAGAACTTCGACTTTCTTTGCAACGAAACAAGCAGAAGCAGCAGACGAAGAAGAAGACGACGACGACGACGACGACGCAAGACCAGCAGCTCGATCGACTAGACGCAATCCCGAAGCAGCTCAGTGAGACCGCTGCCAGTGCCAATTGCTCTCCCTCGTCGCCAGAGACCGCCCTAGCTAGCTTCTTCTCCCCCGTCCTCAGCACAAATTCCCGCGCAAATGGCCGCCCCCAGGATACTACGGCCGACTTCCCGATTGCTGGCACCGCGGTCGTCTCTCCCAGCAGCCCGTTTCTCTGCCTTCCGGCCAGCTGTCTTCGCTCAGCCGGTTGCACAGAGACGCTCGTATGCTGCTCCCAGTGGCGTGAAGGAGGTCACCGTCAGAGATGCGCTCAACGAGGCTTTGGCGGAGGAGCTGACCAGCAACGAGAAGGTCTTCATTCTCGGAGAGGAGGTGGCTCAGTACAACGGAGCGTGAGTTCTACAGCCCAATTGACCACTTCCTGCCTGCTCCTTCGTTAAATTGGCGCTGACTTTGCTGGTGTTTAGTTACAAGGTCACCAAGGGTCTTCTCGACCGATTCGGCGATCGTCGAGTTATTGACACTCCTATCACCGAGCAGGGTTTCTGCGGTCTCGCCGTTGGCGCTGCTCTCGCTGGTCTTCACCCGGTTGTATGTGATAAAAGATCCTGGCCATTCTTCGCCGTTTAACCGTCTTGCTCTATTGTTCCGTACTAATTAATTTCTCCGTTATGTCCGGTGTTTATAGTGCGAGTTCATGACCTTCAACTTTGCCATGCAGGCCATCGACCAAATCGTTAACTCCGCCGCAAAGACTCACTACATGTCCGGAGGTATCCAGCCCTGCAACATCACCTTCAGAGGACCCAACGGTTTTGCTGCTGGTGTCGCTGCCCAGCACTCTCAGGACTACGCTGCTTGGTATGGAAGCATACCTGGCCTGAAGGTTGTCACTCCATGGAGCTCCGAGGACGCCAAGGGTCTCTTGAAGGCTGCCATTCGTGACCCCAACCCAGTCGTCGTCCTTGAGAATGAGTGAGTTGGAACTCTCCTCGGCTGAGTATTGGAACTCTTTTTTTCGTTGGTTTGCTAATGACAGCGATAGGCTTCTTTATGGACAATCCTTCCCCATGAGCGAGGCTGCTCAGAAAGACGACTTCGTTATCCCTCTCGGAAAGGCCAAGATCGAGCGTCCTGGAAAAGACGTAACCATCGTCACCCTCTCCCGCTCCGTTGGCCTCTCCCTTCAGGCTGCCGCCCAGCTCAAGTCCAAGTATGGTGTCGAGGCCGAGGTCATCAACCTCCGCTCTGTCAAGCCGCTTGACGTTGAGGCCATCGTCAAGTCGGTCAAGAAGACCGGTCACTTGATCGCTGTTGAGTCCGGTTTCCCCATGTTCGGTGTTTCGTCCGAGATCCTCGCCCTCGCCATGGAATACGGTTTCGACTATCTCCAAGCCCCTGCCATCCGTGTCACTGGTGCTGAAGTGCCCACCCCATATGCCGAGAAGTTGGAGACCATGAGTTTCCCACAGGAGGACACCATCCTGTCCCAGGCTACCAAGCTCCTCCGACTATAGACACCACCTGTATCAACAACTCCAAGTACACCCCGCGTCTAGTACAACTTTATACACCCTCTGTTACTACTACATTACACCCTCTCTTTGCGGCGCTCCACACCACTTGTCCTCTTCCCCACAGATTTTTTCCTCTTCTGTAGCAACGCTATCCCTCTTCATGTCTCTGGTATTCCCTTTTCCTTTCCATCTTGTGTATTTTTACGCTACCTGACGATATATAGCGCCCACACTTGTACTATTCGTCTTTACTCATTTGGTGTGTGCGCGTGTCTATATGGCACCGCCACCCCCCTCCTTTGCCTATCCTTGGATCTGCTCAATAAATAAAATTCCATCTGCATTGCATATCATCGTTGCATTCATATAAACTACTGTAGTGTATTGCTGAATATCCACCTCCGCACTCCACTATCAGCTACTAAATTAATGTACCCGCCTGTGGATCACACCTAAAAAACTTGTCATGCGCTCATTGAGCAGGGGGTCAGTCAACACTTCTGATATATTTGCTATTCAAACTGAAGTGGAAAAAGCACATATACAAAAGCTCTTCGACAGACGGCTCAGATGATACTCACTACCTGATGGAGGTTAGCTGGGTGCTACTGAAGATTGGAACCTGCCCTGGATGGCTTGTGAAACGGCAAGTAAGGGGAAGCACGCCGGTCAATGTATACAAATATATAAAGCAATCAAGATGGCCTCAGGCTTTGACGATAGTCATGATGCAGCTATCGGGCCATTCGAGGGAGGTTATATCTACATACATCCAGAGTGTATGTCCCTGATCCAGGGTTCGCAGCCAAGGACCGATACAAACAAGGACTGATACGAACGATGGGCAAAGAAGGACGTCCGGCTCTGCTCAGCACCCGATCAACATCGCCTTCAACGTCACCATCTCTGGTCTTTCTTCTGGCTCTGTGGACGGTAGCGCTGCATTTTGTTTCCTCTGCTCCGATGCCTAACCTGTCAATGAAGATTCCCCGGGTCGGCAACCCAGTCCTCAACGGCTGGTATGCGGACCCCGAAGCCCGCATCTTCAACCACAAGTACTACATCTACCCCACCGTGTCGACAGTGTATGAGAATCAGACCTATTTTGAGGCCTTCTCCTCCCCCGATCTGAAGACGTGGACCAGCTTGGGAAAAGTGCTGGACTTCAAGGACGTCCCCTGGAGCACGAACAGAGCTGCATGGGCACCCTCCGTTGCCTTCAAGGATGGGTCATACTACATGTATTTCTCTGCTGGAGACGGAGCTGGGCTTGGGGTTGCACGTTCGAGTTCCCCAGAGGGTCCGTTCAAGGATGCGTTGGGTAAGCCGTTGATATCAGAATCGTACTTTGGTGCGCAGCCCATCGATGCAGATATCTTTATCGACGATGACGGGAAGAACTATCTCTATTATGGCGGGCATAGCCATGGTGTTGTCGTTGAGCTAAATGATGACATGATCTCCCTCAAGGGGGAGGTTAAAGAGATCACTCCAAAGGGTTATGTGGAGGCTCCGTGGATGTTGAAGCGAAAGGGCGTGTACTACTTCATGTATAGCACTGGCGGGTGAGTCTGTTATTTGTTGGGTTTGCATTCCAGCTTGATATTTCTTTGAATAACTGGCATTAACGACGTTGTCAACATCTTCAAGGTGGGGAGATAACTCGTACGCAGTGAACTATGTCACTAGCAAGAGTCCACTCGGGCCCTTCGACGGCGAGCCTGTCAAGATCTTGCAGGGAGACACCGCAATTGGAACAGGAACCGGCCATAATAGCGTCTTCTCGGTCAAGGACGACTACTATATCGTGTATCATCGCCGATTTCCTGACGACAACGAAAGAGACCATCGAGCCACATGCATCGATAGAATGTATTTCACCGATGACGGTCGAATCGAGCCCGTCAAGATAACAACAGAGGGAGTGGAGGCCCGGGTTCCATGGTGATTAGCCTCCTTTTGTGAATAATATGATATCGCCTCTAGCCTGAGATGTACCGGTATTTTCATTTTGAAGGACATGGCAATCCGGCGATTGGGTAGGCATCTGTATATATTGTTTCTTTCTTCAGCACACTGAGGCCTTTGCTCCGGGGCATTCGTGGAAGCAGTCCGTCGGGCGTCGGGGATCGTAATAACCACCACCAGCTTTAATATCATCGTTGCCGTTCTCTTCATCAGTGTCGCTTTCTACCTCTTTATCCGCCTGTAGAGGGCCTCTATCCTTGCTGGTATTGACCGTGGGTCCGGAAGCCTTGGTCGGAACACTCTCCCGTTGAGTGATGTCCTCCTCGTCATCCTCGTCTCCCAGGACATTCTTCTTCGGTCGAGCTGCCCCTGCAGATGCAACTGTGCTCGAGCTCCCGGCTCCTCCACCAGCTACCACCGAGAACGAACTTTTGAATCCGCCCTTTTTGAACCCACCAGTAGAGCCACTACCAGTGCCTGAACCGCCTCCCTTCTCCCCACTGGAGTTAACGATTATGAGCCCTGCTTCTTCATTGGCCTTTCGTTCAGCTTTTCTCGCCTTTTCAGCGGCGTTTGGGTCTCGAGAAAGCTGCTTCAGGTCGCGCAATCGTTTCTTGTGCTGGTGGTCATAGGAACCGATGTGTGCTTCGTACTCGGGGTGTCGCGAGTAAGACTTGTTGCAGAGCGTGCAGGTAAAGGCATTCAGTGCCGAGCGCGCAGATTCGGTCTACCTCAAGTCAGTATTCGCTCGACTTTCCTGGTGCTTGGGATGGTTGCTTTGCGGGTTGGGATGTCCTGCACACCTTTGGCGCCGGGTTGGCGAAGCCGCGCTGTCATCCTGGCAGTCAGTAAAACCTGTTAATTCTTCCTGGCCGGAGATGTTACTTACCGGAGGCATCTTGTCTGTATACGCTCTGGGATAGACGTCAATAATCGCGTTGAGGATTGTTATGGTCAAAAAGGCGAAGTTGGGGAGTTGAAGATGGAGCTGCGACTGTTTGGCCAATCAAGGCCGCCCAGTTGCGGATTTCTCACTCAAGAGGTCGACATTTGAGCTACCAAGAGCATCAACATTCTGCACATTACTCTCTCTCTCTCTCTACTTACTTGCATGGCTTTGCGCAGGTTACAAGCTGAAAACATCCATATCTTTCTGCCTTTATTCTTTTTGCCTATCGGGAGCAGTCGATTTAACTACTTCCTGCCCACCGCGACGGCATGAGCCAGCAAGAGCTCTATCTACAGGAGATAGATCCGTCTCCGCTGGACGAAATAGACGGTGACATAGACCCCGAAGCCGCTGATGGCTCCTCAAAAGCTTCTAGCGGTCCATCGGGAGGTCATGATCTGCCATCACGGCCGAAGCTGGGCTTAAGCGGCCACAGCTGGGACTACTGGTGTGCGTGCAACTCTGCCCTGCTATACCAAAGATGGCCGTTTATTTGAAAGTGCTGCTTCAGATATGATATATATCTACTAACATGCCCTAATAGTGTCGGCCGTCCAGAAATACTCTACGTATCCACCTACTGTCTTCCTGGGGTTACACTTTACAAACACAGCACTTATACCGCTAGCGACTCGGTCCGTGTCCGAAAGCGAGACCTTCCTCCTCCTCACCCGTCCAATATACCAGGCTCCAGGCCTTGAACCGCTGATAGTCTACTTGCCTATCCTGGCGCACGTCACCTCCGGAGTCATACTCCGCTTCCTCCGGCAATCTCGACGAGCTCGGCAGTTCGGTGCAGAGACAAGAGAGCAACGAAAAGCCATCAAGTCAACTGGTAGGCCGGCAAGTGTCCAGACGATGCTAGGCTACGCGATGATACCGTTGATCGGGTCACATATACTTGTCAACCGCCTTGTCCCGCTCTATGTTGACGGTGGCAGCTCTGGAGTTGGGCTTGGTTACGTGGCCCATGGAATTGCCCGGTCACCTTGGCTCATGGGGGCGTGGTATGCCGCGCTCACTGGCATTGGAGTATGGCACTTTGTCGGTGGCTGGGCCTGGTGGTTTGGATGGAGAGAAGTGCTGGTCACCAAGAGGACTGCTCCTAGCCCCGGCAGTAGTGCTTCGGGAGCCAACGGCGGCTACCTGGGCTCCCAGAAGGGTACCGAGCTGTACCAGAGGAAGCAGAGACGGCGTTGGATTGTCAATGGCACCTCGCTGGTTGGAACAGCTCTCTGGCTTGCTGGTGGTCTTGGGGTTATAGGGACAGGCGGACCCGGAGTTGGATGGGAGGCCAAAGGTTGGGATGCCCTGTACAGCCAGGTACCTCTGCTCGGCGGCCTTCTTGTGCCCGACAAGTAGTCAATTTCGCCCGTCATTCCCAATGCACATACCATCTTTTTTCCCCTCTTCTCCTTGCCCTTCTACAGTGCGTATATAATAGTTATTCCTGTATATAGTTATTACTGTAGCTTTTTGTATAGATATTTTAGAGTTTGGCCCGTGCGTTTCCTCCGACTTTTTTTTTTTTTTTTTTTTTTTTCTCCATCTCATTTTGATCAGTGAAAACACACACAATCACGGAACAGATGACAACGAAGAGAAAAGGGTGTCTCGTTGGGATCCGAAAGACCGCGAGGAACCTTGACTGAATGCTCCAATGCTCCTAGGCCGACTCGGCATTAGACCCGGCCCTGGACTGCGATGTGTCGTTACTAAACCGCTGTTGCTGCTATCAACCACGAACGCGAAAGCTCCATATCAATTGGCGCGTAGGATGGCGTCCGCCGAAGTGATGCCTAAGCTAGGGACGATATCGAGCCCACCGAAGCAAGGCCAACTTATAAAACACAGGTCGACGGTGTACAAGACGATCCAAGAAGGCCTGGCGTATATCCTAGTTGACCAAAAGGATGCTGAGCCAGCCAAACCGCCTCCATTAACTCAGAACCAAAAGACCACGGAAGGAGACCGGCCGTCTGTTTTCTATAATCCTATCCAGCAGTTCAATCGAGACCTGAGTGTTCTGGCTATTCGCGCCTATGGAGAGCATGCCACTGCCATAAAGCAGAAGAAGCGCAAATTGAAGCTCAAGGGTAGAAAGACCCCCACAAAAAAGGCAAAGGCCGATGAAGGGAACGAGATAGAGAAAGCTATTGAAACAGATGCGCCGTCTGTTGGTGATCAAGTGAAGGCAGAACCGGTCGGGGCAGGTGTGAACAAGAGAAGACGGGAAGATGAGGACACTCCGGCAGAGGACACTCCCTTGAAGAAGCCTTGTACTGAGACACGGTCCAATGGTGAAGAGATGGCTGGACCAGTCGGGGAAGAGATTGCCATGCAGGCCAAAGATGTCAACGTCACGGAAAATACAGAAAAGGTAGCGGAAAACGCAGCACCTAAGCCATGGACCCCTTCATTTACAATACTAGACGCTTTGTCTGCCTCGGGGCTTCGAGCTCTTCGTTATGCGAAAGAGATCCCCTTTGCAACTCGCGTTGTTGGAAATGACCTGTCCGCGGCAGCCATCGAGTCTATGAAACTAAACGTCCAACACAATGGTCTAGAAGATAGAGTCCACCCGAACAAGGGCGATGCTTGTGCCTATATGTATACTGTTGGTCGGGCTCAAGGATCTCCTAATGAGCCTGGTGGCATCCCGAAGTTTGACGTTGTTGACCTGGATCCTTATGGAACAGCAGCCCCCTTCCTAGACGCAGCTGTTCAATCCGTTGCCGATGGTGGCTTGCTATGTGTTACCTGCACTGATGCCGGAGTATTTGCAGGAGCGGGATACCCAGAGAAAACATTCGCCCTTTACGGTGGTATCCCCATCCGCGGGTCACACTCTCATGAAGGAGGGTTGCGCCTGATTCTGCATGCCATAGGCACTGCCGCTGGAAAGTACGGTCTAGCCATTGAACCTATGCTTTCTTTGTCAATCGACTTTTACGCTAGAGTCTTTGTTCGTATCCATAAGGCTCCAATTGAGGTCAAATTTGCAGCCAGCAAGACAATGATTTCCTTCAACTGTGATCATGGTTGTGGTTCATGGAAGACACAACGCCTTGCTGAAAGAAAACCGCAAACGGGCAAAGATGGAAAGACCTTTTATAGCTACGGACTTGCCCAGGGTCCGACTGCTGCTCCCAACTGTGAGCATTGTGGTTTTAAGACTCACGTTGCTGGCCCTATGTGGGCTGGTCCCCTGCATAACCCCGTCTTCATCCAGCGTATTCTTGACCTAACGGCTGGTGCGGATAGGGATACCTACCAAACATGCCCTCGAATAGAGGGTATGTTGACTACTGCTCTTGAGGAGGACTTGGATCTTGGCGGAAGCGCAAAGGAGCCCACCCCAGAAGCAGAACCAGTACAACCTAATACCAACAGTCAAGAAACGTCTCTTCTCATCCCTAGAGTTGACCCTGCCCTTATCGAGCCCTACCCGTTCTTCTTCATTGTCAGCAATCTCGCTCGCGTGCTCCGCACTTCAACGATGCCAGAAATTCAATTCCATGGAGCGCTACGAAGCCTGGGATATAAATCTACTCGAAGCCACGCTAAACCAAACTCAATACGAACTAATGCCCCCTGGGAAGTTGTCTGGGAGATTATGCGAGAATGGGTTCGCCTTAAATCGCCTATTAAACCTGGAGCGCTCTCCGACTCCACAGCTGGTGCCGGTATTCTACGAAGGAACCGACATACACTTAATCCTATTCCTGGAGAGGTACCTGGGTTGAAGGCATTAAAGCGCGATCTTCTGACTGCAGTTGACTCTGGTAGGAGCATTGCAGATATCACAATGATGGTTCAGGCCGCATTGTATCGCTCAGGAGTGCACCAATCAATAGAAATCGTTGACAGACATACCTTAGAAGGAATGGAAAAAAATGAAAGCAATAATGAGGCACAAAGCAATGACTCTTCGACAAGGGCCGGTTCGCCCTCAACTTGCCAGGATCCAAGCACGCTAAATGTTGTGTTCGATGGAGAGCTAGGAAAGAAAGCCCTCAATTCACATCGCAGAAAGCGTTTAAAGAGATATCAGGCAAACCCCAGGCCTAACTGGGGGCCGATTGCGCGAGCTCATGTTACCAATACAACCAAGGATACCAAATGAGATAATATAGCATTGCTAATTTAATGTGAGCGAGGACCTGTACTGTACTATTAGTCTGTCAGAGTTGGCACAATATGTACGTTGATGGCTGAATGATTCATCCTAGTAATGTTGTCCTATCTACGAGCTTTCTTGTAATCAAAATCTAGGGGCTTGTTCTGAGGAACTTTTCCTTAAAAAGATTTACGATGATGACATGGTCTAAATTTTTCTTCTAACATTCTACTGGGTTATTCATGGACTGGAAGAAAGAGAAAAAGAGAAGATTGAACATGAAGCTTTTTGCACCGTCATTACATCTATCCGGGCGGTTCATCACTAGGTGGCATGGAAAGAAAAAGGCAGAAAGTCTTACATGAAGGGAAAAGAAGAAACTAAATATGAATAGATGCAGAAATCGTGTAGAGGGATGGAGGGCTGACCCTAAAGTCAGGTCGGAATATGCACTTGGAGGACTCAATGCTTATAGATAATTGGATCAATAGGGGGGATTAGAAGTGGGATTGAGCAATGGCGATGGCTTGAGCATCACTATGAGTGATGCTGACATGCACCTCCTTGACGCCGGCCTCCTTAGCAGCGGCAGCGGCATCACCGTGTAGCTGTGAAGAAAGAAAATTAGTTAATGTGCTGATACAATGGAGTGACGGGGATAAGTTAGCTTACCACTACAACTGGAGCACCGTTGTCATCATGGATGATTTCAATTTCCTTGAGGGGAGCACCACTTCCCTTGCCACGAACACCGAGGGACTTGAATACGGCTTCTTTTGCACTCCATCGGCCTGCAAAGGATGCTCGTGCGGAGCCTGCTTGAGAACAG